AAATTGCATCAGCATATATTGACATTGCAAATGAGCGAAGCGACATTGTGCGAAGTTGGAAGCGGCTCATGCAAATGCGCTGAGACTAGAAAGCACAGTGGTGCAGGTAGGTGCAAACCTGCAGTCTCGAGTAAGCCTCACTACTTTTTAACCTAGATGTTTTATTATCAGCTGGAGAAGAGCATCGATGAGCGCGACAATATCATTTTCCAGTTGCGACTAGACCAAAAGAGCAGTATGAGACTACTTCAAAAGAGTGCTAGCGATTTGCGAGCAAAACTTGCTGGCGCGGTTTATCTGGATAAATATGAGCGCGCATGCGAGCGTACGCGTATTTTGGAGGCTCGCAAAACCGAAGTGGATAAAAATCTTCAGACGTTGCTGGACCAAAAACGAGCTCTTGATGATAACCTAGCTGAAACCAAATTGAAGTTGGAATCGCAGGAAGAACTTTTGGAAGCTCTTCGAAACCATTCTGCAAGTACCGAACGTATTGCAGCATGGCACAGCAAAATGGCAGCCTTGCAGCTGGCAGATCTGCGGTTGCAGCGGGATATTGCTCGTGAGCGGGAAGCTTATCACGCCACTAAAAGGGAACTGCGTGACAATGTTGTTCGTTTGGCCCAACTGGAGGAAGAGTATGTATCATTACAAAGTGAATTCGACGCACGACAGCTGGAGTGGGAAAAACGACAGGGAGACCTTGAAGCAACTATCTGCAACTATGAAGAGGAGCGTGACCGCATCTTTCAAGCAGCAACTGCTACAGAATTCAAAGATGTAGTCCCAGATCGCAGTCTCCCGGTCGGTCAACAATTGGAGACAGCCCTGCGTTTGCTAGTTGAGCGAGGGAGACTTGTCACGGCGCAGGAGATCAAGATATCCACCCTGGAGGGCAAGGTCAGAACACTGGAAACCCAGCTGCAAACTAATGTGGACGAGCTGTATAAAAGTAAATCAGACTTGACGCATTTGCGTCTCGAAGTCACAACAAAGCAAATACACGAAACGAACACCGCTCATAACATCATCACCGCCAAGGAAGGAGTTTCTACCTTCGACCAGGTGCGGGATCGGGAGGGCGAGGCAATTCGAGTGGCCAAAGAAACTGTTGCGTCGCTGCAGAGACAATTGTCCGCTAAAGATGAGCTTGTAGAAAAGTATCGCAAAATGCTGAAAGATGTGCGCGGGGAAATGATGTCCCATAAGGAGGAGTACAAAACCGCCTTGCAAGAGCGTACGGATACAATCAATGCATTAAGTGACAGGCAATTGGAAAGGATTCGGCGACCTCACGAGCATTCCCAAAGTACAGCAAACCGTGAACCAGAGGCTGACAGTGGAGCCATTGAAGAATGGGAGAAGATGCTAGCTGCCAAGGAACAGGAACTTTTAGGTTTGCAACTGCGGATGAAGGGAATTGAGGAAGTGGCCGAGGCGACACGTAGTGACCTGCAGGAGAAGATTCACTTGTTGACTGCAGAGCTTGACGAAAAGCAGAACCAGATAGATGGAAAGATGCTGGAGTTGAGCAACATACGTTTGGAGCTGAAAGAAGCGCAGCTGAAAGCTGAAGAGCCTCCCTCCAAGAAAATGGTCAACCTTGTCAATCAGTTGCGGCAGGAGTTAGAAAAGAAAGATGCCAAGCAAGCTAACCTGATTAAAGTCATTCAAGAGCTCAAACAATCAATGATGCAGACAGCGGAAGAAGCTGCGAAAATGAAAATCGAAGAGAGCCACGGGCGAGCGGACGTGGAGGAGTTGGTACAACAGCGTACGAGGGAGTTGAGTGACCAGATTGCGGAGCTTGAGGGTAAAGGGCAAAGGATCAACAAAGCAAATGCTGGGGAACGGACCGAAGAACAACTTGAAAAGTCTATACAGAAGCTAAAGGAGGAAGTTAGCAGACGTGATACTGTGATAGCAAACCAGGCGACAGAAATACGCAAGCTGCAAGGAAATCTGAAGGAGCGCAAATTGCAGATGACAAACAGCAAGATCAGTGAAGCACGTAATAAGGATCCTCACAAGCATCAAACTTCAGAAGAAGGGACTCTTGGAAGAATCCGCGATCACCAGCCTCGAGCCGCCCAGGCTCTCAGAGCTGAAGAAGACAAAATTACTGACATTGCAAAGGAGAGATGGGAGATGGAGAAAAAATACCAGAAACGCTTGGAAACACTCAAGGAAAAGCTTTCTAATAAAATCAAAGAGTTAGAAGAGGCCTCACGCACAATATCTAGCTTACGTGAATCCCTTGCTCGGACCGAACGTGAGCGCAGCCGACTGCAGCATAAGCTGCAAGCTGCTTCCGCGCAATTAGCAGTCGCGCGGCAACTGCCGAAGGGTCAAGCATATGGTGAGGGCATCTCTGAGGAACTTCAAGGTGAGGAGCAAGCACTAGAACACCGAAGGCACCTCGATGAGCTAGAGAAATCGCGGCAACAAATATATGAGCTGGAAACGGCAATCGAGCAGTGGAAGAAGGTAAGAGTTTTGCACATGTAATTGCTGTGGCGGTGAGGTCTGCTGCTGACCGTCTTGGGGTGTTTCAGCGCGCAGTCTTACAGCCAACCAAGGAAACAGAACAAGCGCGACATGAGGCCCGACAACTCCGAGAGCGCCTTCAAACTCTGGAAGAACTTAACGACCAACTACGCAGGAGCAGAGGCGCCTTCTCACGGTCGCCCGAACCAGGTGGGATTAATCCAGATGCAAAGATGGGTGAAAAGACAGCCAGTCTTGTCAGCGTGCTGGAGAGCAGAATTCGGGACTTTGTGGTATGCTGGGCAGTTTTTGAGGGCTGGCACTCCAAAGAGCTAACGTAACCGGTGCATAGAACAAATACGAAGCGCTCGAAACGGAGAAGCTCAAAACCGACAATGATTTGCTGGAATGCCGGTTTGAGAGGGATGAAGCAAACGACGCAAGAATGCGCCTTGAGCGGAGGTTACAAGAACTTGAAGAGGTAAAGTGTCTTCCCTTGAATTGGCAGTTTGAGCCGTGTCACGTATCAAGACTCCAATTTCATATATTAATGCCCTATGCGATTAGTACCTATCCCAGATCAAAGAAGCCGAAGAAAAGCGAAAAGTGGCTGAAAATCAGGCTACAATACCCGGCTTCACCATACCCCTCACCAAACTCCGGAGTGCGCCTCACCTGTTTTTGGAGCGATCGCCTCAAGAGCTGGTAGCAGTCATACAACATCTCGCCCGGAGCAATGAAAGACTACGGAAAGACTGTGAAAGCGTGAAAAAGTATGGAGCAAGCCAGAGCAAGTATATGGAAGCGGTTAAGGAGATCAAGCGGCTAAAGAAGGAGCTCGGACAGAAAGGAGAGGAAACAAGAGCAGTGTCGGACGAAATGAAAAGAATTGCAAGGTACTTGGCGGGACTCCCTGATATACCGGGTGACCCTCATCTGACATTTTCCATTGACGGATACAGGGTGGAAGAAGAGAATGCAAAGCTACTCCGTCAGCTTCGTCAAGAAAGGGATAAAGCCACCAAACACTTTGCTCGGGGACAGGAACTGGAGATGGCCAAAGAGAAACTCCATGATGAGCTCATGCAAGTTCGGAAGACTTTAGGTGGAATAAAACTTGGCACCCCTGGAATTAATGAAGATGAACACTCTGAGGAAGAGAAAATGGACGTTGAGGCGCTGGTGGAAAGGCTAAAGGAATTGGTGAGGTTCTTCATCAAGTAGTAACCACGTTTTTTTAATTTTAAATTTACTGACGCTTCTCTGTATAGACGAAGCAATTGGCTGAACGAGATGGAATGATAGAAGGTTTTCTCAAAACAGACAACAACGAAACCACTAATCTTGCTGCGGAGAATCGCAAACTGAGCAGAGAGGTTAGTTGCTTTGATCTTGAGACAGTTGTAGATTTCGCAACCCATTGACCCCGACCGTAGCTTGAAATGTGGCGAGTACGTGCAACAAAGCTCACAGAGCAGATAGCATCAGAGACATCCCGATCACGACAACATGTCGTCAAACCGGGTGGCGAGGATGCAACCCGCGGCGCTTCACCGTCTGCTCTACCACGCGATAGTGAAGAGCTGGCGGCCCTGCAAAATAGATTGGATCAAGTCGAAAGGGAAAACGCGGAGCTCAAAGGTTGGCTGGCTTTCTTCTGTCCTGACCCATCGCTCTTGTCTGACAGAATATTCATCCGCTAGATGAGCTAGCTGCGTTTGATCCTGCCTTTTTCGAGGAATTGGAGGATCTCAAATGGAACTATCGGGAGAGCGTGCGTGTCAACCTTCAATATGAGGAAATAATACGGGATTTATGTGAAAAGGCGGGCGTCAGCCCTCACGCGGTACTTACGACAGTTGAAAAGGATGACCCCGAGGGTGGTGGAGGATGATGATGTTCTAGTTGATACTTTATACATGGTTTCCTGTGGAAGATGAAAATGCGGGCCCTTCTCGCCTATATATGGGTGATTTAGTGTTTTTGATGGTTCGCTTCGTTCAAATGAAGTGTATTGAAAGCTGTCTCGCTCAATCTCCACGCTTCCTTTTTGTTCCCCTCTCCAAATTTCCGTACTGTGGTTCTTCACGAGCTATCTTGACTCCAGGATTAGCCTCCTCATACTTCCGGAACTGACCGCGATGACTCTTACATGTTAATAATGTACAGGCCCAATGAGAGGAGAGACATTGTTTCCCCAACGCAACTTAACATTTTCAAAAGCATCCGCAGAGCTCGCTGTTTTTCGTTGCGAGGCATGCCACATCCAAGGTCAATTAATTTCCCTGCAAAGAACATGTGCTTACTGCTTTCAACAACAATGCACCAATTCATCCCCGCCATTTTCATCATCTAATCACGGTGACTGTGGATGTTTACTCTTCCAATCCTAAGCCTCGTTGCTACGCTAACTGTACATAAAGCTTCAAATTGTGCCCCAGATCTGTGGGGCAAAAGAGGCGAAAACTCTATGATAAGATGGTGGAAGATACAACCCTAGTCGCTGCTTGATGGGTTTGATGCGAAAGAGTTGTTTTCAGAGGACTTTTGCAGGTCGTTTTCGTTCGCCAATCCATGCTTTTTGTGTACTTCCAGGATATGATCCAAATCGAGCTCATCTGAATTTCTGGTAGTTGTCCTTAGAACACGTTCCATGAGAAGAATGGCGGCCGCGGATTCTTCCGATGATGTAGAAGCAATGCAATCTATCAAGGATATACAAAATGTAGTCACCGTCGCGTGGGAGCGGTTGAAACACTGCACAAGCCTACCAACCTTTTGGCACAAAGGTAGCAAAGTCACGCATGTACGCATCGTTGGCGGTAAATAGAATGCAAACGTTCCCTGCCATCCCCACGATGATCAGTGTCTTTATCTATGGTATTCCAGAGGTAGTTTAGTAACCTGGCCCGCCCATCTCGCTGTAAACGTTTCCTCTCACCCGTAGATATGTCAGTAGTGAATCGAGGGCTGTAGCATAAAAAGCCGAATGCTTGGGTTTCAGCACGAAATAATCGTCCTGCATGCAGATGCTTTAAGCTAATCGAATCATGCACGAGGATAAGGAGGGACCTTACCGATCGGGGTTTGAGCATTTCAGCAACAGCTTTGCCTGGCGTATTATTCTCGGTAACATGCTCATATATTTGTTGCAGATTTGACCGCCACTGACGATAAGGAACCCATGTGTTACTTTCTTGTCAAGTCTGCCGCGATTGACTCAATGCTCACCCTTCCAAAGTTGTCGTTGCAGTAGATAATCGGGATTCCAGAATCTCTACATTTATTCATTAAATTCCTGATCTTGGGTCCCATTTTCTTTGCTTCTTCGACTATATACTCGTTGCCCTCAAATTCAATGTCGTTTATCACATCAACGAGCAGCAAGGCGACTCCAACACCAACGCCAGCTGCAATTCAAATAAGGTAAGAGCAGGTTGCGTTTGCCTAAATCGCATAGAACCCACCAGCGTCCCCTTCTGGTTGATCTCCCACCATGTTTGGAAGAGGAGCACCCGTGTGCTTTCTTGCCTTGTTCAGTTGTTCATGTATCTCTGCTTGACCGAAGTGTTGGATCCCTTAGGAAACCTCCTAATAACACAGGACAATTACGATTTCCCACCCTTTCTATGAGCCTCGCTTGGCATAGTGTGAGAGATATGTTCCCTTGGTTGCGAATAAAAGTATCTTCTCCAAGATGGTCCACAGGTACTCGACGGATATAACGGTTTTGAGATGTGTGATACGGTCGAATCAAATATACAGAGAGGACGCAGCCAGCGCAGATGTTTGGGCTGCAGCCGACAACTCATTAAGGATTGTTTTTGCGAAAGACGATGCTCCAAACTCGTCCAAAGTCCGTCAAAAGCGGTGCAGGGCGAGCCGATGACGCTTCGATTACGATGTGGCTTGGCAGCGCGTCTCGATCACCAAAAGATTTCCTGGATCTTTGGTAATACGACTTGGGAATCAAAACTTGCCCACCGACCATGTCGCCATCCTTCAGCGAGATCCTGGAAATCCAAGTATAGGAGCTGTAAATTTCCCCCTCGGCTAGGATTTGAGAGTTTCCCATTCGGTCTGCCTTAGACTCGCCCATGTTTATAGTGCAATGGCGTTCTTTTGGGGTTATTTCGCCCCGCACTATAGAGAGGTTTCGACGGTGCTTCAAAATCCTGTGAACTTGAAGAGGCTTTTCAAATGTGTCGCCGCGTTCTATATTGCCATGTTGTTTGGTCTCATACCATCATGGATCCGAATACTGGAACCTGAGACTGTCATGGCGCCCATTGCCCTCCTCCTTTTGCATCCTGCGCGGACTGTGGGTGCTCAGCTGGAGGTGATCATAACCGGTCTTGCTGGCGCTTTTATTGGCGTAGCCTGGGGGCTAGGAACCCTGGCTGCATTGGGAAGTTACTTCCAAAATTATCCAGGAGTCGACAATCAAGGATTTGGAAAAGCGGTAGTGGGACTAGGGTCGATTTTGGTATTCGTGTTTGGTGCCACGACTATCAACGCCAAATATCCACATCTACGAGTAAGTAAACCCGTATGATTCTCTTAGGTAACACTGCTGTCTGTCATCTGACATCCGATTCCGCATGCATTATAGAGCTTTTGTATGAACGGTTGTATTATCACCGTCCTCATCATTCCAGCAGTATTTGATATGCCCTCCTACCAGCCAGCACCGATCCTTTCCGCCTTGAAAGGTTATTGCATTGGGGCAGGAATTTCATTGGTCCTGAATATCTTCCCCTGGCCTGAATTCGCCAATGAGCATCTGAAGTATGGCAGCTTTTCAGTCCAGGACTTCGGTTTGGCAGATTTTTAATCAGCGTCCTTTACAGGTCAACAATGTTCGATTCATTCAATAAAGTCCGCACCTGCCTAGATTCGGAAGTATCTCTGTTCCTTTCCTTCCCTGCCGCCTTTATCGATCCACCCACACCCAGGAGACGTGCAAGTACGCGGGATTTGCAGAGGCGGTCATCCGTGTCTGCCGCTATGGCTACCTCACAACACCTTGCTGCCGCACGCTCTGCCGTCTCGGAAATTCATAATGCGCGCAAGGATGCAACTCATGAGCTTGGCTATGGTTATCACGCGCCGCATTCGCTCCGAGATTTAGAAAACTATACGCGATTAATGGTACGGCACTTGGGTGGGATGGCATCTGGAATTGCTGGAATGCAAGAAGTTATCGAAAGCAAGGATGTAGCCAACAGTGGTCGTGATGCCGTGATATCCTCTTTGCGGGCTTTCGTGACATGTATAGCACCGAATGTAAGGGACTTGAAGAAGTGTTGTCTAGATGCTCTGGAGATGACTCCGGAGATCTTGTACAGACCAAAGGCTCAACATTGGTGGATACGAGCGAGTGAAGAAGGGCATTCGGACGATCTTAGCGCTACACGCAAGCGTTTGCAGAAGTCTTTGGAGCAGTACGACGAGGCACAAAAGCTAGCCTTCTCGCAATGTACTCCTGGAACGACTACTGATACTAGGACGGCGGCAAACGTTGAGCCCCCTGCTAAAAAACCCCCTACCCCACCGCCACGAACATACTCTGCAGAATCACCGACGCACGATCATGCGAAGGATGTAGGAACTGCCGACGACCAAAGTTTCGCTCACTCAACAAATCAGCTTCCTTCGGCACACACATCTCGGAACAGCAGTCTATCAGAGCGGATTGAGCTGGTACCATTAAGGACCACTGCATCTCGTGAAGGATCAGATGGCGATGACGATTTGATACCCACTTCTTCGCATGTGCATTGGACGAACGAGTTTTATTCAGTATGCTTTTTTGCATTGAGCTTACGAGAGTTTGCCAAATCTGTTTTGGACGAATTACGAGAAGCTGATCGACTCCATCGCACATGTGGTAACAGTCGTCGCGTCTTTTGGCCAAGAAGCGGTTGGATGTCGCGACATGGTCTGAGGCCCACGGTGAAGGGGAAAAGAAAAGGTTTGTTGCGCAATCATTGTTACGTGCTTGCAAGTGATGAGGACCTTACCAACGCTGTCGTATAATAGGGAGTTGTAAATGGAAATCCCCTTTCACCGCTTTCGTCGATGGTCTTTACACCTTCCATACGTTGATGAAGAGCCCAAACGTGCGGTTCGGTTTGAAGTCTGTTGTAGCTGTCGTTCTCTGCGGCGTCTGGGCTTTTATCTCTAGCACACGGCCATGGTACATTACCCAACGGGGTTATTGGGCTATGTTCACAACAGTTGTCGTCATGAATCCAACTGTCGGGGCTACTTCGACGACCGCGGTTTATAGAATGATGGGGTAAGCTTACGCTGAATGACTGTCCCGCTTCAATCTCATTAAAACAAAAATGTGGGCTAACATAGGATTTTTGCATATTCAGAACTGTCTTCGCTGCAGTCTGGGCATATCTATCGCTTGTGATCGCCAATTTGAATGCAGGAGGTATGTGTCCGAGCTCTAGTTTCTATAGTCGAAGGTAATACCAACCCAAATGAACTTGTAGTGATCTGTGCAATGATGCTACCGATTACCATCATTGGCTTTTACATCGCTCTTTTCACCAGTCGGCGCTACGCGGGCCTTGTTCTCCTCATCACGTACTGCACCATCATAGTGATGCCTTTTGAACCAAGAGGAGTTCCCGAATCCATATTGCACCTCGCAATTGCCCGGACAGTTACTATATTTGGCGGCTCCGCCGTCGCGTTAATAGTTACGTGGGTACTGTTTCCGCGCCTCGCCCGTCGTGATGTGCGATTCGGAGTTGCGGCGATAATGCGTGACGTGGCGGCTCTCTATGCCACACAAGTAGGAGGACTCCTTACTCCTCCCACTCCGTCGAGTGGCAGCGGCAAGGTCAACATAAACACGGAGATTGAGCATTTCCTCTCGAAGGCGCAATCTCGTTTGACTGCAACCCGCCTCAGCATGACGATTGCAGCATCTGAGCCCGATTTGGATCGACCGTATGACAGCGGGACCTTTTGCGAGGTTGCAGATCGGCTACAAGCACTGATTGATATTTTGGCAGCGATGCGGGACTCTTTAAAGGCGGAAATGGATGATGAACTGGCAAACGTCCTATGGTCAGTTGCGGAAGAACGACGAAACCTCGTAGCTGCTCTCGTAGCGGCCTTTCACATACTCGCATCCTGTCTGGAAATGGCAGCACCCCTTCCCGTCCATTTCCCTCAAGTTGTACCTGCCCGCGAACGCTTACAGGAACGGTTAAAAACTGTGATGGGCAACCGGCGATTCTCATCTGTGTCTGCGTTGTATGTGCATGCCTATGCGTGTACAACGAAACGTATTGTAACAGAGTGCGAAGGTTTGCGTAAGGCATTGGGCGGGCTGCTCGGGTGCGGGACCAAGGCATAGAGGTGAAGCACACACATATAAGGCAATTATTGGAGCTTACTAATCGTACCCTATTTCGAGGACCAAAATGTATTATGCTTTCTCTGTAAATTTTTAAAACACTGATCAAATGCCACACTGCAGTCACATGCGAAATTCCCTCAGACAGATTTGTGCTGACATATGGGACTTAAGTATTTGGCTTGGTAGCACTGGTGGTATCGCACATGAACCAATGGATATAGGATCCCGCAAACCATGCCATTCAGACAGATTGTCAAAAGGCAAACCCCCAATTACCGATGCTCCTACTGCCAATCGTCACCCTGCCCATGATCAAACAAGTAGTTTGCTGCCAATTCTTCGTTCTTATCGCAGGCAAAAAATGCCTCGATAGCAAGCGCTCGGTCAAAGCCTAATGCAACCAACTGATATTGTACGATAAGCAAGAGTCGAGTGGATACCCTGTGAGTGGAATAGGTCACTACCAACCCGATTGATAGCAGCTTCCTCCTCAGGCGTTACAGAGATGTATTGCGGCCCAGGCCCTCCCTCGGCACCCCCTTCACCGGCTTCACCGAGGAGTTGAAAGAATTGGTCTTGATTCTGTGCGATTAACTGCAGAGCTTGTACTTAGTAATGCGTTACCAGTCCTCCAAGAAGCGCTTTAATGTCACGTACTTGCATCATCTGCGGGTTACTCTGAGCAAGCTGTTGTAATAGTGGTTGTATCAGTTGAGGCTGTGTTTGTACTAGCTGGCGGAGTTGCTGAAACTGGGGAGAATTGCGTAGGAAAGCCAACTGATTTTGAGCATCGCCAAGGTTGAGTCCTCCAGCTCCAGCGGCAGCTGCACCCCCAGGTCCTTGCTGAGTAGCTTGCGCGGCAGCTTCGAACAAATTGATAAACTGACCGCCCTGTTGCCCTATTACCGTCCTTTTAGATCAATTAGTGGCAAATGCAGCATATGAAAGGTCGTACCTGTTCCGCCAGTAGTTGCAGCAGTGGTAGCAGGCTGAGATGCAAGTGGATCAGCGGCGGCGGGGGCAGGGACGGCTGGTGCGGCACCTGCACTAGGCGCAGGGGGTTGCGGAGCTAGATCTCGCGTAACGTGTTCGGGAATACCCTACAGACTTCATTAACACAATCCAAACAAGGCCATGGCCATGATGGTCCAACCAATACGTACAGTCATCAAATATTCAGCAGCTCTGTCAGGGTTGTTAAACGCTGCACGCATAGCTCTCACAACTTGATCCCGCTCGAAGCCCATTTCCACCAAGTTTTGTACAGCACTTCCATATGCACTACCGGTAGCTGGTGCCCGAAATAAGAACATGCCGTAAAGAGTCAGCATAAGTAGTATATCCTATAAACCCACCTAACGTTGACGCGTCAAACGAGCCGCCCTCCACTGGAACAGCTGTGGTGGTTGTGTCACTGGCAGCAGACGCGGGAGTCGGTGTGGCTGGCGTACTTGGCACTGTCGGAGCTGTCGAGGCAATTGGGGCAGATGGAGCAGCTGGCGCTGCCGCCGGCGCAGGAGTTGATGGGGCCGCAGCTTTAGGCTATACATTGCAATAGGTCAATAACCGGACTTTCCACCTTTCCAATGGCTGGCCTAAATACCTTGCCGGTCATCACTACCAAGAAACCCTTTTCTTCAATCTTACATTCTTCCACGGTCTTAGAGTCCTCAAGAATCTTGCCTATTATGGGGGCGAATGAGACGACCACGTTCACTCGACTGCACTACTGCAGATCATGCTGCCTACCAGAATAGATCAACTTTTGCTGAGAAACCTCAAACCCTTGCGACTCTTCAATTCTCTTTTTCACTTCCGAGATCTAGCAAGTAGGAAAAAGCATAATACTGAGCCGTCTGAACTGTCCAACAGAGACTGTTATGTATCAACGCCATTGCAGAGGCGGTATTGACCTCGCAACAAGTTCCTTTATCCATAACATACCTTATCCGTCGGCTCTGCTTCGATGTGGAAAGATTTTTGGGCGAGTGTTTTGATTGTCAATTTCATGGTGAGATCTTAAAACCATCAGTCCAATCAGCCATGTCGTTCTAGCAACAACGGACACGGTACATATTGTTTGTCCAGCTTACCTTTGCGTAGCCAAAGTAGGAAGATGCAAGTAAGAGTGAAATTGAGCAGCACCTCAAAGGCGAGATGGCTTCCGATAAAATCTCCAAGGCGCAAGTTGTCACGACGGTTGGAAAAGACATCACGACCAGATGAGTCATTGATGACGCGTCATATCACAACACCGTCGAGTCCGCCCACCGCTTTCCTTCGACAAGTCATTTTGCAATAGGACGGATTAACAGCAGCATGTCCTCCACGACCAAAGTAGTGGCCTCTGCAACAGCCGCCTTGTCAGCTGCAGACGCTGCTGCAACCACAGCCTTCAAGGCTGGTAAACATGCCGCCATTATTATGGGTGCAACTGGGGCTGTGGGCAAAGCACTAGTTCGAGAGGTTATGGAAGCGGATGCGTTTGAGAAGGTTACACTACTGCTGCGTCGAGAGGTAGAATATGAAGGTCCTCATAGCGAGAAACTGGTAAGAAGGCTGTTGCTGCGTATATCTGATTATCTGGACACGTCACACTGCGCATAAAGACTCAGAAGAAGGTGGACTTTGAGAACCTTGAGGAAAGCGTCTTTGCTGGCCATGAGTAAGTGTCGTCAGATGTCTCTTGTTGCGCGTTGGTCTCACCAACCAGTTTATGCAGTGTCATGTTCTGCACGTTTGGAACAACACGAGCGCAAGCCGGCTCTGCTGTATGTTAAAAATGATCGGTAGTCATACACTATTCAGTGTCTGACAGCTCCTTCTTGCAGGAAGCATTCCAAAAGATAGATCGCGACTATGTCCTCAACGCCGCAAAATTATTCAAATCCGCAAATCCAACTACCCCCCTCCACTTCCTCTACACTAGCAGTGGTGGTGCTAACGCCAGCAGCTGGCTACTCTATCCCCGCACCAAGGGAGAAATTGAAAACGGCCTGAAATCCATGAATTTCGCCAAATGTTCAATATTTCGCCCGGGATTCTTGGTATTGGAAGAGGAGCGAAGAGGTAGCCGTTTTGCTGAAGACATGGTGGCTCCGATACTGGGAGGTGCCTTCGGGAGATGGACTGGTCTGTCGACTCCAGTTGGTAGTTGTGCCCGTGCCATGCGTCGCTGGGCCGTTGGTGGAGGTGAAGGTATAACGGTAGAGGTTAAGGATGGCACGTATACTATTGAGAACAAGGATATTCTGAAGATGGGCGCATAATACTCTGGAAAGTGCATGATGGATGTCATTAGCAATCGAACAATATCTCATATAGCAACTTCTATATATAATGTTGACTTTGCCTGAGGGATTCACTTACCAAAAAACAGGGGCGGAGGGTACAAAAATGGACGATTCCTCACGCTTGATCCACTTTTGGAGTCCAGCGATACCTTCCATTGCAGCAGCCTTAGAAACTAAAGGGCTAAAAGACGCGTATATCTCGTGTGTGGGAGTTGACTAGAGATAAACCAGCGGAACAGTCAGCAATAAGCCAGCGTCGAATCGACTTGAACTAATCCATACATAGGACATCACGGCTTCAGTAGGAGTCGCATGGAAGATGACTCTGGCCGGGTTCTCGCGAGCATGCATTCTTTCTAAGGCGTACTGATATGCGCGCAATAGTCTGTGTAGCGAGGTTTTCGTCAAAACTTGCAAAGGCTGAGGTCCCGGCATAGTCAGCTTACCGTCGTCTATCTTCTTTTCGTGTATAAGGGGCAGACAGTGATGGCTCTGTGTACTGGACGAGCGTGGTTGATTTATAGATGAAGTGCCGCAAACTTGGCACTTCCACCTCGACTGGAAATGTAATTACCGAGATTGGTATGCTTAACCCTATTTTGAAGGTCTCAAGAAGCACCATTGCCTTACCGATACTGTACGGATCAGCTCTGATTGCGTCGTCAATGGCTTCCACGCACCCAGTTGTTTCCAGTCCCTGTAATCAGATTTGTGAAACTGTGAACCCTCGGACTCATATTTCGGTATCTTCTACCTGGGAAATTTGCTGTTTGTACTCCGACATCTCAAAGAAAGCGTCCTTATCCGTCGAGGCGAGGACCAAACAGAGGTCTGTCCCAAGGAAGCACACATAGGTATGGAGGAAAGCTCGGTTGTTAAATTGAGGGAAACAAACAGGAGTCCAAGTCTCCACCGAACGGAATCCGGATGAAGACGAAATCATATTCATAACAAGGTGCAAGTCTAAATTCAACAGGCATCATGATGAGAAATATCAGAAAAAATTCACAAGTCATGCTACCTGTTGGATGAAGGCTGTACCGCTTAGGACGGACTAGGGTGACCAACTTGTCCCTGGCAATCAGAATCCCAAACACAAGAGACTACATAGCAAACTTAAAGAAGAATACTGTCATGATGTAGCATTGACGATTTACCTTGGGCGTCCCTATGGCCAATACGTTTCCAATCTTCTGCCGTAACCGGGACGACATTCGAAGACATGGAATGGCACCCAGAAAGTAACCGGACCCACTTTGAAACGCGCCAGACAAATGGTCCAAAAACATCTCCGTTCCTATGAATAAGATTCAGCTGTGCACCTCGTGCAATGTTGAAAAGGATAAAGGATGTTCACCTGATAAAAGGTTTCGCAGATCGTAATTCCCTCTCGTTTCGAATATACGGGTCAGCGCAGCTCCGGTCAAGACGAAGAGGATCTGGGCGTAAAGACATTCCAATTGTTGACGCAACTGGTGAACAATTGGAATGATAGTCGTCATTAGGTGATTAGCGTGTTTCAAAAGGGACGGCATTCGTATCAGTCGCTAACCTGCAATTCGGATTCGCCGGTCGACGAAACTGCAACCAAGTATAGTGGTCCTTTCATTGAAAAGACGAATTTGTGCGAACCGGCATTCAAGCATCTGAATATGAAATACATACGTGGAGAGATTAACATTCTGAAAAGCCCACACACCTATACGAGGTAATAAGAACCTGATAGAGTCATCATCACTTGCAAAGAATGACAATATTGCTTGAATTAGTCCCATGAAGCTCGAAAGCTTGGCTTCGTCCCCATATCTGCCAGAATGTTACCCTTGATTATTCGGTACGCTGGGAATGCAAGACGCTATACCTCGAGTAAATAGGTTTGCCGGCGCTGCTTAGAATAAAAAAGTGTTTTTTATGATGTGTCCAGCGGCTGGACGTCGGGACTGTGGTGATTCAAGAGACGGCCATCGTCCGGGAATGTCAAAGTTGGAAGGTGCGAGTGGAGGTGCACTCTTAATAAAATAGATGCACACCTTCATCACCGTATCGTCGTAAACTGTCCCCAGCTTGCGTCGGTGATACCACATTTTTATGCTTCTGAAAGGATTTTCGCCGCGTTTCGGCAATCAAATCCGGCTGCATTTGGTTATCCGAACGAGCCAAAAGAGCGCTTGCAGAGTCTAGAACGCAGCAAGGACGAGCATGTCAGCACAGATATGAGAGATAAATTTAAGGCACCATAGAAAGAAACTGACCCAGAGCGGGAGCAAGCTCTGCCACACAGGGCCCCTCACTGGAAACTGGTGAAGGACATTGAGAGGACAAGGGAGACTCCCCATCTGCAGCTGACGGACCCAGTGGTCCTTCAGGGTGCATAGGTTCTGCCTCTACGGCATCTTTGCTCATTTCTACGTAGTCTGGACACTTGTTGCTGCACACTGTGGTCTGCCGTATCAGTATGTCAAATTCCGGCAACGGCGATCTCTCATTGCCGCGTTTTACATGAAGTGCTAATGCTGACGTAAAACGATCGAAGTACAAATGCCAGCAAACTGGGTTGACATTTTGAAATTGTCAAACATGTTTTGGCTTTGAGACTAGAATGGATCACAAAATACTACCCGCTGATGAACGGTGACAAGTAATGTTCTTGACCTCTACCAATTTATGGTGAAAGACCAATTCTTGCAAAGTCGTATGAAAAGCTCAGCAGCTATCGCGAAGGTCCTTGCTCGGGTTATGAGATAGTGTACGATGTTCCTTATGCGCACCTCAATGCGCCATGAGACAAGGATTGTACCAGGCTTTCCCTCTCCGGCTCTTTGGCAACTACGGCGATAGGTTCAGAAGGGAGTTCGGACGACGACGACGAGGCTTAGTCAGCTGTTATCATGGCAACAAGCGGCGTATCCATTCCCATGCGCTGTTCCAAGTCCTGCACCCATCTCCTCCCAGATCGTTCGCAGTTCGACGTTTGCCAAAGTCACCGGATATCCTTACCGCGCTTTTTTTGAGTAGAGCAGGTGCCGGTGAGCATATTCAACACGATCTTCCGCGAAGTAGCGGTCAACATGTTGGGTCTCAGCGCATCCAGTGGTAGGTGTTGGTCAAATGCTGTATTCCTGGTTCAGTAGACACTACTCTCTTGGTAGTGTTATTAATAGTTTAACGGCAAATCTAACGCTTTCAATATAGAGAGCGTTTGGCTGCGCGTGACGGTTCTTTCGCTTGTTGCCGTCTTGGCTTTTGCGTCGCGTTTGTTTTCGGTGCTGCGTTTCGGTAAGGGCCACATCTTGCATGGGTTTGACACTATTCACAGCAATGAATTTCAATGACTGATCTGTGAATAATTGGTTCTCCTGTAGAAAGCGTTATTCACGAATTTGATCCATGGTATGAGCCACAATCGGTCTGTTGTCAAGTAGTAATTATTCATCTAGAATCGCGATCTAGGTTTAACTATCGCACAACTGTCGAATTGGTCGAGAATGGATTTTATGATTTCGTTAACTGGTACGAGGAACATAATGCTTAAGATGTCTGCAACCTGTATCTTACCATCTTGATAGGTTTGACGAGCTCTCCTGGTATCCATTGGGACGTGTTGTCGGCGGCACCGTATACCCTGGGATCATGGTCACAGCGGGGATCATACATAAAGTGTTGACAGCGTTAAACTTCCCCATCCACATTCGCGAAGTTTGCGTCTTCCTGGCTCCTCTCTTTTCGGCCTTCACGGCGGTTGCAGCATACCTGTTGACAAGCGAAATGAAGGATTCAGCTGCAGGGCTTCTGGCAGCGGCGTTCATTGGAATTGCCCCAGGTTACATTTCACGCTCAGTTGCCGGCTCGTATGACAATGAGGGTATTGCCATTTTCCTTCTTGTCTTCACCTTTTATCTTTGGATTAAAGCCGTCAAGCTCGGGTCCGCCTTCTACGGAGCCATGACCGCGCTTTTTTACTTTTGGATGGTGTCAGCGTGGGGAGGCTACGTCTTCATCACGAACTTGATTCCGCTCCATGTATTTGCCCTCATCCTGATGGGTCGCTTCTCCCCGCGGCTCTATGTATCATATTCGACTTTCTACATCATCGGAACTATATCGTCGATGATAATCCCCTTTGTCGGGTTTCAACCGACCAGAACCAGCGAGCACATGGCGGCACTTGGTAGGTTCATTGCAGATGCGCTACTGGCTTGTGACCATTACTTAGAGCATCTGGTAGGTATATTTGGTTTACTCCAGATCATGGCCTTTGTCGAATTTATTCGGGGCCACTTGTCGGCAAATCAGTTCCAATTGCTCTTTTATGGCCTGATTTCTGGTTTCTTCCTTCTCGGATTGGCGGCGCTAGTGGCGTTGACAGTAGGAGGTTACATCGCACCATGGACTGGCCGGTTTTACTCGCTGTGGGACACTGGATATGCGAAGAAGTATATACCCATTATTGCGTCTGTGTCCGAACACCAGCCCACCGCATGGACATCATTCTTCTTTGATCTCCAGTTGCTCATAGTTTTATTCCCAGCCGGTCTTTATTTCTGCTTCCAGGTACGGCGCAGTACCTGCCCTTTTCATATTCCTGTATTGGTAACCTAAACCTTGCGTGCCCAGGAATTGAGGGATGAGCACGTGTTTGTTATTTTGTATGCGGGCACTGCTGCGTATTTCGCTGGCGTCATGGTTCGTCTTATGCTGACTCTGACGCCGATCGTTTGTGTCGCTGCAGCTATTGCTGTTTCGACAGCACTGGAAATCTTCCTCAAAAAATCCAAACCTCCAAAGGCTAGCAGTCCCAGTACAAAGGCAGCCGACGACAAGAAGAGCAAAGAGACAAAGACACCTAAACTCGCTGAAAAGAAAAAGAAAGATGATAAGACCAGCCGGGGACTGTGGAGTTTGGAGGCAAAAGTGGCAGGCGTTCTTCCGCTGGTCATTATTCTGGCGCAATTTGCGTTCCATTGCACCTGGGTAACGTCAAATGCGTACTCTTCACCGTCTATTGTACTGGCCTCCAGAAAGCACGATGGATCTCAGCACATCATTGATGACTTCAGGGAAGCCTACTACTGGCTTCGACAAAACACCCACGAAAAGGCAAAGATTATGTCTTGGTGGGATTATGGGTACCAGATTACTGGTATGTCGAACCGTACAGTTTTGGTGGACAACAATACATGGAACAATACGCACATTGCCACGGTTGGGAAAGCCATGTCTTGTTCCGAGGACGTCTCCTACGAGGTCATGCGTAAGCTGGACGTTGACTACATTTTGGTTATTTTTGGGGGAGCCATTGGATATTCTGGAGACGATATCAATAAGTTCTTGTGGATGGTTCGAATTGGCGAAGGTGTCTACCCGAATGAGGTGAACGAGCGAGCTTTCTTCACCGAAAGAGGCGAGTACCGGGTAGACGATCTCGCTACCCCGACCATGAAGAATAGCCTGATGTACAAATTGTCCTACTATCGGTTCCATGAACTTTTCGGAGGTGGTCCCGCGCACGATAGTGTGCGTGGCGCGACCATACCAAACAAGCCTATTAAGCTGAGCACTGTGGATGAAGGTTAGCCGATACTTTATTTGACGTTGGATGCCTGCAATTCTCACTCTTTTCCCCGGGAAACAGTCTACACTACTGAGAATTGGATTGTTCGCATCTACGAAGTTAAAACGCCAGATAACATTGGCAGAACAATGTCTGCTGCTTCCACGTGGGTTTCTGCTCTGTTCAATCCTGTACCGCGCTAAATACTCAATTTCTCACGGTCTTTCGTCCAGATTTGGCAAGAAGCGACGTCGACGAGTTCGCCGAAAGGTATCGCGCAGCACCAGCCGCCGACGTCGGCAGGATTAGGTATTAGTGTATAGCTACACAATGACTTTCTGTATATCAGTTGGGATGCACATATGAAATCGAAAATTCGGCAACTTTATCCCCGAACCAGAAATGTCCGCGTGCCCGTACGTGTTTAATTTGCGCAATGCAGTGTGAGCTGTTTCTACCTGAAGTCCTACATATGGCCATCCAGCGGAATAAACACCAAACGTCTATGTCCAGAGTAATATAAAGATATACAATTTGCTGAGGCGTGCATAAACTAATATAATGTGGGAGAACCCTCATAATACGTATCAATCTAGCGCATCCTGGGTTAACCAAGGAGTATGTTATCATCTAAACGGTAGGTCTGGATCTAGTTGGACCTCCATCATCAACCACTGCAGGTTCTAACGTTGAAGCAGCCAATCCTTTCAAAGACCCTGTGGAGGATTCGCGGACCAACATGCGTTCGAGTGTAAATGTCCGACCAGTTCTACTCGTAACCGTGGATATTGACAATTCTTTCCGGCATTCCACAGATGCTGATGACAGCGAGCGAGACAAGGAAACAGATTCTGTAGATGAATCTAACTCGTGTGAACAAAGAGGCGTTGGGGATGATACAAGTGTCGATGCGTTCTCGGTGTCGAGATTGGCAGTGATGATATGAAAGGAGCTGGTGCTGCGTTTCAGTGACTTTTCGACGACGATCGGATCCTGAATACGATGTTCTTGTGCCGGTTCCGATGGTTCTGGTGACTCAGCTGACGGGACGGCCGGCATTTGTGCTGTCATTTCCAAATCATTGGACATGCCCTGGATGGCAGCATCAGTATTCGTAAGAAATTCATCTACCGGTGGCTCAACAACGTTGATTTCGTTCGCTTCAATGACTTCAAAAGATCTATTGGAGATTGTGGTAATAAAGCTTGTACTACCCTGTGTGAGAGTGCATTGATCATCACTCCAAGGGTCGGAAGGTTTTCGGGCATGGCCGAATAAAGGGGACGATCTTCCGCTAGAAACCAATTGAGACGGGACGGACGAAGTCATCGTGAGCGTCAAATCAGTCGATTGAAGCTCACTACTGGCGTACAAGCCGTCATCTGCTCCATGCCCTCGGCACGGATCGAGCACATGCAATCCCGTAGGACACGCCGCAGGGGCTTCTATTCGCTCAAAAGTAAAAGTACGTTTTCTCGCGAGAACACGGACGCTGTGCTGCCGGGTAACCGTAAATCTACCCTGTTGTCGAACTTCGGTTGTCTCTTCCGATGGCGGAGTCGGGGCAAGCGCATTTTCTTGCGCTATGTGACAGACTTCGATGGCAGAGATTTCGGTCTTTTCAGATTTCCCCAAGGAATCCGTCTCATCGTGAATGCTGACTGGGACAATAAAAACATTGCCCGAGGTTTCCTCGGATGCACGGGACGATCGCTTCCGGGTGAGTCGTGTGAAAAAATCTGATGCTGCAACCGATAATCTTCTCCCAGATGCTCGATTCTGCGTCCGTTGAGCATAACCCGAGCCGGATAGCCGCGACCCGCGCGGTTTATCCTCATCAACTAGCAAGTTCTGTTTCTGCTCCGCCCCCACTACTCCGTTCCTTTGGTTCACAAAGAGAACATCCAACCCGATGCCATAGCTACTTTGACGCTTAAAACCGTCAACTCCCGTATTCACTGTACCAAACACATTGTTGGTTCGCTGTTTTGCCTGGCTCTCCTCGGCTTCTTCCAGTTTTATCCCTCGACGTTCGCTCCGCGGCTGTTGAGTCAATGATGTACGCAAGAATCTAGCCACTCTCCTGAGCACACCGGGCTTTCGCGACGGTTTCACACGGTTATGGGCATCCTGGCTACTGACATGTGCGCTCTCCCGCCTATCACGCTCGCTTTGACCAAGCGATACTAGAGATGTGCCGGTTGTGTCGTCGTCATCCTCCATGTCTTCTAGATATATATTATATTTCGGCACTCTACTTGGCAGTCTACTCCCTTGTAATCTCAAGTCATCAACTGAAACTGCATGCTTCGTTGGACGTCGCAAGAAGAGCGCAGCAAGCCTTTCGTAGTGCCGGGTTTGCGGTTTCTTGGAAGTATCTCCCGAACGGCACTCGCTAGTTCTTGCCGTGCGGGTACTTGCCATGACCCCCGCTACACTGGTGGCCCGTCCTCAAGCGCTTCTGCCTGCCCTTTGCAATTCTCGATTAGTATACGGGAGCGTGTATTTTCTCACGTTTGAGACGTGTCGTTCGTTCAATTCCCTATATTGCGTTGAGAAAGTCTGCACAATTGACGCGTCGAGTTGTCGCTGCGCAAGGATACAGTCAGTCCCATAGCGCGATGGTGTGCTTGCTGCAACTAGCCACTACCTTAAAGGATGTTTAAGTGTGTTGAGCTGCCATTGGAAGTCGGTTTGGCCAAACACCTTGTTCTGGGTATTGACACGCACAGTGACACGCGGATTGCAGCGCTGGAATACGCGCGGAAGGTGTCCCTACCAGAGCCAACAGTCCAAACAATATGACAAGCTCTCCAGAATCCAGTCGTGCCTCAATTGCTAAAAGCAAAGCGGCCCACTTGCAAACAAGGGTACGCTCGCTCTTCAGGCAGAAGAAGAAGAAGCGGAGCAGGTTGCATTCCAACCAACACCACTGTACAGGGGGGCATTACGTTTACACGCGCGCGGGCGAGGGGGGAAGGATCAACTCCTCGCGGCGATCTTGCAAATGTCCTTCTTGGGAATGACGGTGGGGTGGTGCTGGGGATGGTTCCCCCGCAAAAGGGATTGGACTGTTGGGAGTTTCACATGCAATGGCGCGCTGGTTGTGGGATATGTGCATCAAGCTACTTGCTTATAGGACGAGTATGGCATTTGAAGGTATGACAGTCATATGAAAAAGGACAGTCATTGCAACAAGGAAAAAACCCTCCATGACACCAGAACATACTTTACATCAAAAAGTCATCATCCTGTTGCATTTACAAGGGCATATGGACCACCAAGTCGAGAAAACGATGGCAAAAGTCAAGAAAATATCGCAATGCTTGGGCATTCCAATCTCTCGTCGCAAGTGGCTTAGCCTCGTGCGTAACGACTGGGTCCCTCTGCACTTTTCCCCCGTGTCCTGCTTGTAGTGCCCACCCGAACGATGAACAGCCACGCAGGGCACACCGGACACGAAGGACATCCCATGCCGGGAGCGCCGGGAGGTGACATGCCGAATGGCCATGGTGCCATGTCCATGGTCTGGAACTGGGGTTATGGTATGCAAAGGGTTTTCGCTGGTGCCCCTAAATGTCCCACTCGACAAATTGTTGAATATCACACTCTTTTTCTGTAGACACTGTGATTGTCTTTGACTTCTGGCGTACAAATGGTAAGACGTAGTTTCCAAGCGATCTGCATTCCTCCCGTGGTGCCGTTACCAACAGTACCTGTTGGACGATACAGGACCAGGCACACTCTTCATATCTTGTGTGGTCATATTCCTCCTTTCTTTTCTGTAAGCTCCTGTCCAACTTGAAATAGGTCCCACAACATACTAAATCCGATCTATTTACTCTGAATACCAGCTTTGAATATTTCCGGACCGTGAGAGCCACTCAAGACCGCCGCCTTCTGACGTTGATGGAAACAGGCGGGCACGATCGGTATGAGGAGGAGGGTCTCTTGGGAAATCGTTCCGTGCGTGGGGAGGGAGAGAGGGAGGATGATTTTGAGACTGAAAGTTCGCCAATACACACCTTTAGAAGGCGAGGTGTTCCTCCTGCGACGGTTGGGCGTGGGTGAGTTGAGAGTGGCAGCTTTGGACCGTGAGACGCATGGACTGAATAGGAGTCCATCTGCAGGGGCAAAAGGAGCAATGAGAGTCATGACTGACGATACTTATTCGCGCTCCTGTTTGTCTCTTTAGGGCGTCCTACTATCAGTTCTTGCGGGCTGTTCTGCATTCCGTCGAAGTATTTTGTGGATTTTTCCTCAGTATGTTTCTTTGATTTTCCTTTTGAGTGCTGAACGGCGTCATCACATTTTAACTGAACCTCTCAAAAGTGATGGTTTTTATGACCTTGAACGGATTTCTCTGCTTGTCCCTCGTAGCTGGCGCTGGCGCTGGGTTTTTTGCATATCAGCGGACTCCCGTACCCGTAATGAAGTCTGCTCTGTCATGTCATTGATAAATTATGAAAATCTAGAACGGGAGTATATTGACCCAACTCTATTGGGCGCAGAGTTTGGCATCAGGACTGTTCATTAACAAGGTGATCCACAGGCCCTATTAAGTCCAGCAATTTTAACTCATCTAGTGAAATTACAAATAATACAACGGATATATTCAACCGGTTGCAGGATGATTATAGCGTACAGTTTGTGCATGAGCTTCATGTTAACCTCTGCCATCGATTGCTAGTCCGGGCATTGTCCATCAGTCATCTGCTGGATACTCAAATGGTTCGGGTGGTCCAGGTTCCGCTTCCTCCTCTGCTGTTGCTGCACCGGAAAGGGCTAAGAAAATAAATATCAGCTTACCATTGTACATTCGATAGTAAAGGTGTTCGCATCAACTTACACAAATCCTTGAGCTCTATAATCTCTTCCTGCTCGCCAGATCTCCGGTCTTGCATCAACATTATGCCTCCAACTGACGCCTTCTTGACGGGTACATAGCGACTATCTTCCTTAAATTTAATGTATTTGACTTGTGCCGGAACAACGCGCGCCATATTCTCAAGAACTTCAGAGTTGTCTTCCTTCTTTTTCTTCTTCTTTTCTGGCTGACCCTCCTCTTTCTTTTCCTCCTTATCTTTTCCTTCCGGCTCTTTCGCCGTCGGTGTCTCAGGCTCTTTTTCATCCTGAAAAAACGAACTTTGATGAGAAACAGGATTGCTCATTCTGCAATGGAATCGCTGATGGCATCTTACCGTATCCATGGCCTCTAGGCCTTTGCTGCTCTCCCGTCGCTGCTGGTCAATCTTCTTTGCTCTTGCGATAGCCTTTGCTGTGGTTGACAACACCGCCGTTGCAACTTTCTCCACCTTTTCCTCCGTTGGAGGCTTGGTAGGTGGTGGGTATGCAAACAAGGAAGGTTTGGCGTTGGAGATGAAGTCAAATTTGGGTATTTTCAAGTCTTTATTCAACCCAATAATGGCTGTGGGCGTGAATGCCAAACTCAAGAAGTGAGTCAGCGGATACCAGTACCAGAATTGGGTGAATACGGCCATCCCCACGATGGCGGACATGTTTGCATGTCCGGACAAAGATTGCAGGGAAATAGTGACATTTCGTCCACCTGTAGCGGCAATCTCATGAATTTCCATGGAATGTCGACAATCGATGGAAAAAGGTGTACAAACCAGCATCAATGATTCCCTGTCCCAAGACTGCACCAAACTTTGCCATGGCGTCTTCATGCTTGTCGCCAATGATCGATTCAAATTGCTTTCGGGTTGGCGTAACCTTTGAGCTCGTAACATCATTCTGTTGCACTAGAATCATGGCCGACGCAATAAGGGCACCTTGTCGAACGTAATCGACAGTGTCTTTTGTCATTGGTTCCAGCAAATCGAGAGCTTCCTGCAAACCAACAAAGCGTATTAAAGACCCCATCCACCAGCCGCGATGGCACTGACACACACCTTCAATCCTGTACCAGCGCATGAGATGCCGAGCGCCAAAGTGGCACCGTATCGGACGTGCGGGTTGTAACTCTCGGAAAGAAGTTGTACTACGCGGGGTACTTGTTTGGGCGTGCGGAACAGCAAGAAGCCCAGCGCTGTCACAGCAGCCCGACGGACATCGTCGTTCACGTCACTCACGGCCACGTGCAGCAGACGCCGGATCGCTTTATTGTTTCCAGTACCACTGTATGCCATCGCCACAGTGTAGATTCCACCGTACCGAAGAATTGGATCCTATAGCTATATTAGTTCCAGTACTGAGGATCGAGGGCCGGCAAAAGTGACCTACCTTATCGGTACCCAACTGCTCAATCAGAGCATCTGCCTCCTCTTCACGACCGTACATGATCATGGAGATACCAATCGCCAACCCACGGATGATTTTTTCATGTTGCGTCTCATGTGCGTACTGCAACATCTCTTCAATCGCCCTTGATGATGCAGTTCCAAGCATGACCAAGCCCATAGCAAGCCCAGCGCCTCCCCTGCAACAGCACTGTCGCTAAACAGAACATTTTTCAGATCCTCATAGATTTCTTTTAGAAGTGGAATGGTGTGAGCGATACCCAAGAGTCAAAGGGCCTGCATTATGACGTACCGTCATTGGCCGTTGCCATACCCGCCACACCCAATCCGAGGGCTGCACCATGTTGAACAACCTCCGTTTGTGTATTTTTCAACGCATTTCGCAGGTACTCGATTACGCCGGTACCGTGGTTCGTGTGAATTAAGCCCATCGCGAAGAGCGCGCCTCCTTCCGAGTATGATGATCCACTAACCCCTTCCTTCGGTAAATATGGCGCCAACAACGCCATTCCTTGGGCAAGTTGACCCTACACAACCGGAGGTCAGCTTTCAGAGATCATAGAGATATTTGTTCGCCATGTAGGTACCTTGTGAATTACACCTAGCGCGGCTGTGGCGCTAAATTTTGTCCAGTTGGTCGCACGGGAAAGCCATTCTAGATTTTGGCGCAAGAATTCGTCGCTGGTTGTCCCGGCACTCATGAACGCATTTGCAAAAGTGATTGCTGAATGATAGACAGAATTTCGGGATTCTAGTGCATCCTATAAGGAATATTAGGCAACTGGGGTCGGATCAATGAAATGCGCCATATGCAAACCTTGGAGTTTTTCAGTATCAGCAGGTCAGTGTGGTTATTACGCACTAAGAATTCCAAATATAACCGGATTGACAGTTCGCCAGATAGGATATGGCGTATTTTGTTGAAGCACTCCGCATTTGGAAGAGGTTCCTCCTACAGACGCTCACTCAATGAGGCTTTATGAGCTGGACCCGGTTGTGAACACGACACACACCTTGAGCAAAGGCTGTTTTTCTTCATCGGTTTCCATAGAATCCTGCGTCCCTTCAGCCGCAGCTGGTAGAGCTGCTACAACTTTTTGCAAGAAATCTTGTGTAGCATTCTCCTCCAAATCGAAGGCGATTTGGTACGCTATTAACTTGTGCGTCTGAAGAGAGATCAATGAGTGTTACTGCAGGACAGGGGATTTACATTCAATATGCGCACCTCGTCATTGTTTGCCAGTGTCTGAAGAAGATCCCCACATGCAGCAGGATCATTTAGGTGAAGGAGGCATTGGCTGATGGAGATATAGTCGGGTTCGGGGAGGTTTCGATAGAGCTTTACTAACAAACGAAGAACCTATTCCACGAGTCAGCGATGGGCAAAAGCTACGGGCGTTGGATGCATCACTGATCTACCTCATTGCGGAAGTGAAGGTTCTGTACGATTGTCATGGCCGCATCCAGAAGGTAGGAAAGGAGGGCCTGTGCATCTCCTTTCAACACGGTTTCCTCGAGAACGTCCAGTCGATTTGTTTCCAAGGCAATGCCGATAGCCTAAACGATGAGAGTGAAAAGGGATCAACGAGCATGTAAAGCGACATCCTTTTGTACCTGTTTGTATTCTCCATCATCATAACACCGTTGGAACATTCGTTGAACTATATCCTCGAGACGCCGATCGATGGTTAATGCTTCAGCAGTGTTATCGTGTTGCTCAACCCTCTGTGCAATGTATTTATCGATGCATTTTGCTGAACAAAACACGGTAATTCGCAGTTAATCGCAATATTCTACTGGCGGAACATCGCACATCGAGGAACCAGGATGTTACATACCGATAATAGTCTCCACGTATTCGGACTTGGCGTTCAAATCAAAGAGCTTGCCTGCCCCCAGTGCGAAAGTGAGGGACTCGTCAAATTCACCGAGATGGTAGTACACCTGCAATTCGACGGACAACACTGTGAGTTGTGCCAATACCTTATGGCCAGGTCAAACCTGCATACCTTTGATGCAACCAATGCCGCAAGTTCGCGATATCGAAATTGCTCATCCTCGTAGAGGATTTCGCTAAAAGCCCGGATATGCAATCAGCAAAGCGGCAACTAGTGTCCCGCACCGCGTCCATCCAGACCCAAATCGGAACGTACATTTTAGAGACAGCATCTGAGATTTCGGCCCAGAACTGATCTACAATCCCGTCCAGCTTCTTCAACGCGTACACTTTCAGCTCATCCTCAGTTTCGTCGAGCAACGATATAACACCCGCTTCAACAGAATAGTTAGTACACGGGTTCGGCACTTTACTGACAAGAGTAGACGACATTCACAGCAACTAACCAGCCGATGTTAGGGCAACCATGTTATTGAACAATATATAAACTCTTCTCGAATGTTCAGATCGACACAGACAGCGAACAGTTTGTGTGATTGAGTGGAGGCAATGGTTGATACCTCTTTGTAGACGCGTTACCAGCAGAACTTCATTCCCCCCCAAGCGATGACAATGTACATTCCAACCAATTGATGACGTACTCACACCAATATCTCAAAAGGCTCAACATGGATAGGTGCATTCGCGATCTTGCGCTCAGTTCACCATAACAATCGTCAATATGGCCACAGCTTGGACACCACTAGAATCGAATCCCACGGTCATGAACAAGTACATGGAAAGGCTTGGTGTAGGAGATGGAGTTTGGGCCTTCACTGACGTATGGGGTAATTGTTGCGGTCCGATCCTACGTCGCCATAGTCAAGATCTTCACCGTGATACCTTTCTCCTTTCAGGACTTGACGAAGAGCTTCTACAGTTTATACCGCGTCCAGCGGTTGCTGTGGTCTTGCTATTTCCTATTACAGATAAGGCATGTTTATCGTGTTATTTTCCACACGCGCACAAGTGTGTGGTTTGCTCACACACCGGACCCTGGGAGTAGTACGAACAATATCGCCTCAGCGAAGAAGAACGTCTCCGAAGAGAGGGTCAAGTCGTTAGCCCACAGATTTACTTTGTTCGGCAAACCATTCCAAACGCATGTGGCACGATTGGATTGCTGCATGCGTTGGCAAATAATACCGACTTATTGACGCTGAGTATGTCAAGAAGAGGAACTTGGAATTCCTCTCCGGGAACTCAGCACTAACATGGAATTTCCACAGAGGAGGGCCCATTGCAGCGGATTCTTGATCAAACCAAGGATAAAACTCCAGAGGAACGAGCCCGGGTACTGGAACTCTCCGCGGATCTAGCCAGTGTCCACGATGAGAGGTACGAGTTTCTATTCGTAAAAAAAAAGCTGGAATGTATCTCCATCTCATTGTTCTGAACCACCAAAACAAGCTCTCAAGAAGGACAGACAGCGGTAATTATATCTTTTCATAAATCCTCGTTAGTGAGCCATACCCAATTCATCCTATATTAGGCACCACCCCGGGAACAAGATATTGATACACATTTCATATGCTTCGTTCAAAAAGACGGCCATCTCTACGAAATGGACGGTACGGCTGATACTTTTTGTAAAACTACACAGCCTTCTATGGCCTTTGACTTACTGTTTCCCCATTACAGGCCGCAAACCGTGTCCCATAAACCACGGAGACTGCGGCGATCTTTTACTAGTAGGTCCGCGCGATTTGACTTGAAAAAGACCATTTTAATCTTATGTTCGCATGATTTTGTAGGATTCGGTGAAGGTCATAAAACAGTTTATGGAACGCGACCCAGGTTTGTGACTTGAGAATTGCGATCCTTGTACTATTGCTCATCTGATATCACTACAGACAACCTGAATTTCACAGTTATTGCACTGGCACCCAGTCAAGAGAGTGCGGCCGATTAATCATATGGGACGCAGATTTTAGTGGGAAGGCACCTTAGGCGTAATATCCTGGAAAGCTTGCAAACTGTTCTTTTGGTTGTTCTGCTGTCGTATTAACAACCGTCACATTGAATACTACTGGCAGCTGGCAGAACCCCTTTGTATTCTCTAACAACGCAGATGAGCAGTATCTACTTTATGCATTGCAGTTGTGATCACCGGCTAGTCGTGTTGAACTGGGCAAAATAGTCGTCCGTAGGTTTGTTAGTGTAGACAACTTTGTCCAAGTAGTGTTTCCTGAGTTGAAATTTATGAGCCGGTGCTCCACCATTTACTGTTTACCATTTTGATTACCTCAACTTATCCTCCTCAGACTTTGCCTTGTTTGCGAGCCGCATTTGAATGGCCTCCTCTCGGGTTTTGCGTGCCTTTTCACGTTCTAGAAGCATTGCAGCGCGAGTATTCGCTGCTTCCTGTGATGCCAATCGTTCCTCTTCCCTTCTTTTTTGTTCGCGTTGAGCCTGTTTGCATACATGCAAGGCGATCAATAGACCTTCGACACTCATTCAGGTAATAGTAAATACCTGGGCTTCCGCACGCTGCTGTTCTTGGACTTGCATGATGTAGGCGCTTTGTTCGCGTGTGATACCCTTAAAGACATCCACTCGTACTCTATGTCAAACCATGCCGGCTATTAGACTAAGTTTTCCACTGGCTGGCGAAGATAAGAGATCTATGAAACGTACTGATGTCCACCACCAATGTTAAAAACATCTGGCCGTTCGGTAAGGAAGTCTCCATTGATTTGGCTATTAAGTTCCTTAACGTTTTGCTGTTCCTCGAAGCGTCGCTGCTCGGCTTCACGTAAGCGTTTGAACTCGGCCTGTTGATGACGACCAGTCAGTGAGCAATTGCTCGGTCCTATACATAACACAAGCAGATAGGTTTGAACTCACGAGCTTAAGGTTGAGTTCTTTGTCTGCTTTCGCTTGAGCCGCGCGAGCATCCTGTGTCGCCTTCTGTAAAGCCAGGACTTTTTCGTCGACATCGCGTTGATATTCTTCATAGCGCCTAAGAGATAATTGTTAGTGACAAATTGAAGATCCTGTCATCCACTGTAGTCCTTACCTCTGCTCTTCACTTTCCTTTAATCTTCTCATTCGTCCTTCCCAAATACTCTGTTTTGCCCAAGTTTTCATCTGCTCTTGTTGTAATCTCTTCCTCTCCGTACTAGCCAAATCTTCTCCTTCAAATTTCTGACAAGAGCTGGCGCCGATCTTGCTATCATCGTCCACTACCTGTTCCGCTTTGAGTGCTTTGGGATTGTACAAATCATATTCACGTCGCTGCCATGGTTGTTGGTGAGAAGTACGATATTCATTAAGGGCTTTCAGCTGATCGCGGCATTTGGTTGCTGCTTCCGCGTCGAGATGTTGAAGAATTGCATTCGTTTGTCGCATTGCGCGGTCTGAGAACGCTGAATCAGATCCCACTGCAACGATGCGGCAAACCAAATCCAGGGAGATTGCCCTACCGAAACTCGCATCTCTCTCTTTTTCTGCTCTCTTGACCTCATTTTTAATGCGAATCTGGTCGTCCAATGATTTTACGTCGATCTATAGACCAAGATACAAGCAAGCATCAGATATTAGCCTTCCTTATCCGTTTGCGCTTTATCTGAAAGTCGCTCAACCAAGACCCATTAGGTCCACTTCTTTTCTAAGGAATTATACATTGGTCCGGAAGCGCCTGCGAACAATCCCATACTAGCAGTTTCTCCCGATCATTCAGTCGTACTCACTCCTAGCACTCTGATCTTGGGATCAAAGATCCTCTGCTTTCGCTCCTCATCAAGCTGCCTCCGTCGTCGTATGGCCGCGTCACGAAGTGTATCGGACGGTATCTCAACTTTGTACATATTTGACGGTACCGTGTAATGAGGCTAGATTATTACAAGAGATGCAAGTGTAAGTTAAATGATTCGCTTTGGGTACACCATTTACAGGCCCGGCGCGCATCGTCGAGGATCTTAGGGGTTGTTCGTGCGGACCGCTCGGAGAAATTATATTTTAAGATCACGTATTTCTGACAACTTACGAGATGAACCCCCCTCCAGTGGTGGATAAAATGATTGGATTCCTTTGCCAGATGACAGCTTTCCATCCACAGTTTTTGAAAATGGATATCGAATGAATGCTCCCATGTACCACCCTTGAGTCACTGGGTTGCCTCGACCTCTCTACATTGTGCGGCATATGGTAGACGTTTGACATATTGATATTACCTTCTGCCACACATCAGAATGCAATTCCAGAATCCTTGTATTATGGATAACTCATTCGATCTTTTTGCATCAAATCAGTTGCTCATTATTCATTTAGATGAAACTACATCTGAATCCTTGCCAAAATGGACTTGAATAAACTTTGTGGTGATGCGGGTCGTCCTTGATCAGCCCAAGTCAGATTCATCACGTAAGCGATGTCCGAACCCCGTCGTCCATCGGACATTCTATCAGTGATGCGCGACCCACTTCTTCTCAACGTCCAGATATACGCAGGTGGTGCCTTGCGCACTTCACGACACGGCAGTTATACACTGGGGAGACGGCCCAGCTGCAAGCGCTTGAGTTGAACGCGCTCTCCTGGAGCATGCGCTGATCTGGAATCCTGCCTTCAACAATGTTTGGCATCCCCAAGAGACCGTTTGCTCGTAAGTCGTAAGCGCGAAGCCCATCTATTTTGAATCGGACGGCTTTGAACAAATCTGATAATTATTTCCTTCGCTAGCCCCCGCCGATACTCCTGGTCCTGGTGCATATGACGTACAGTCGAGCCTTTTAAACGGGGACAAGCACAAACACTATGGCTTTCTAAATAAGGCAGAGCGGTTTAAGGCCCTTAAAGCAGGTGGCTAATATAATGATCTCCTTGGATTTGTCAGTTTTTGACTTGCCACACCTGCAGAGGAGCAACTCGAACAAGATGAAGACGGCACCGTTGATCTATCATTTGTAAAGCCGGCCGTGCCTACCCGAGTTTCTAGAGTTAATGGAGAGGATCCGCAAAAGTTGAGAAAAGAGGTACTTTTTGCGTCTGGAAGTAGTATGGCGCCCTTCCATTACATCTTTCTTTCTTCCTGGTTCCTTGACAGATCGAAAAATGGCAAGATCAATATTATCGGCAAGTGGCCATCAATGACAAGCAACGGCAGGAGCTAGAGGAGCGTATCGCCCGCACTGATGCTCAACTGCAGAACTCTGTTAAGGAGAAGAACGCGTTGCAATCTCTCAGCACTGCCAAAGATAAAGAATTGGCAGATTTGCTTCGAAAACATGCACTACTAAAGCAAAGTGTACGTAGGGATCATTGGTTGTTTCATCATGGCAGTGTGAGCTAACGTGAAATGCATCCACAATTTCCAGTTAGAGAAGTCCGAAAAGCAATCCTTTGCACAGCAGGACCGAGCCTCGAAGGCGGTCGCACTGCAAAAGAAAATTGAGGACCTTCAAAAGCAGAATGATCGGCTTAATGAGAGGCTCAAACCCCTCTCTTTAGCAGACAGACAATATGCGAAAGAAAAAGAATCTTTCAGCAGGCAATTGCAAGAATCGAGAGAGCTAATAAAAAGCGCTGTTCAGGAGAAAGAAGAAGCTCTCTCAGTGCAGCACGATCTTGAAATGCGTCTTCAGGACTTTGAGGCACAGCAGCACAAACTTATGCAAGAAGCTCAAATCGCCCAAAATGCAGCATCAGAAGAGTACCAGAAGATCAAAAAGACCTTGCTGATGATGACGGACGAACTCAGAGCTGCTCAGCTGGAGCTTCAGCAAACTAAAAGCGCGAGGGATGAATCCCTCAAGAAAACACGGCAGATCACTGAAAAGAATGCGGAATTGGAAGTTGCCAACCGGGACGCTATCACTAGCCATCATGCTCAGCAAGAGGCTTACCTTGTGCGGATAACTGAATTAGAGGGTAAACTGGAGGAGCAACGGAAGCTCTCATCGCAACAGGAGCAGTTCCTCACAGCCACCATTGCTGACTTGGAAGGGAAAGAAGAACATCACCGGCTGCAACTGGAGATGGCAGAGTCCGCCGTCATGAAATTGAAGAGTGACCTAAGCCGTAGTCAGAGCGAGCGCGACAACGAAAGAGAGAATATGGAATCGATTATGGCTTCTCTTAAAAAGTCGTATCAAGATCTAAATACCACTTATCAACAGTTGATGGTAGAAAACCACGAGGAGATTTCTCGTTACCAGAAATCGGTCAATACTTTGAAGAAGGAGCTGCAAGAGCAAGCGGAGGAACGCGCTCGAATCCAACTCACCTTGGATCGTTCCACAGGGACAATTCAGGACCTCCAAACTGAAATGGGGAGATTGCATGGGAGACTGCAGGATACTGATGCAGAATTCGCGGATCTCAAAACTGAGCATATGAGAACTCTCTCCAAGCAGCAAGAGCGCCAAGCTATTATAGATGAGCTGAAGTCCACTATTGACAGAGTTGAAAAGCAGCTCCGCGACAAAGAGAGAGACATGCAGTTGATGGAGGCAGAATTACGCCGGCATCAGAGCGATCTGGAACACCTTACAGATAATATTGATGGGAAAGAAGCGGATTTGTCGCAAACGCAGACACAGCTGCATGACATGCGTAACGCTAATCTCGAGCTGAAAAAACAGTTGGAGCAAGCGGATGTCCGCATTGCAACATTTGCGGCTAAAATTGAAGAACAGGAGAGGGACGCGCGAGACAATGAACGCCGATCTACGGAGCTCCAGAATATGAATGCTGATTTACGGAAAGACATTGCATTCGCTAAGGAGGAAATAGACATGCTAAAAGAGCATGTCAGCGGTACTACTGGTGAATTGGAAGTCCTCAGGATGGAGCTCCGGAATCGGGAGTCCGAAGTCGAGGAGCTTGTTTCAATAAAAAATGCGATGGGTGATGAATTGTCGGAATTGAGGGAGTCCTTGTCACAGGCAGAGAAGCAAAGCAAAGCAGACATCGCTGCTCTCAGTAATGATGTCAAGACTCGTGATGCAACCATCATCAACCTGCAGGATCAGCTTCGGGACTTGACCGATGCCGCATCTCGAGACCAGGAAACAATACAAGACTTGCGGGAAATGGTCAGATCAAAGACGGAAGAGATCATGACCGGCACCGCTTCATACCAAGCGATCCTTGAGCAGGAACGTATCGCCGCTGCGGAACAACAGGAAAGAGCAGAGAGAAAGATCGGCAGTTTGATGGACAATATATCGTCTCTTAAAGCTGAACTCCAATGTACCACGAGTGAGCTGACGACGGTCCAAGAGCTACTCTCTGACACTCAAACCACACTTACGCAGAGATCTGCTACCTTGGGCGAAAGAGAGACGCATATCGAGGAGCTCGTGCGGCAGCTGCAGACTGACAAAGAGGAGGCGAACGAGGAAAGACGACAACACGCGCAGTTGTTGGATAGTCTTAGGAAGCAAAGGGAAGCAGAAGGGGAACGCTGGCAAGCGCAGGCTGCGGAAATGTCGACAACGCTAACAGAACGTGAAGAGACCATCCGGCGGTTGGAACACGACCATCGGCTCCTACAGCAGGACTTGGAGAAAGAGCGCGATGCCCATGCACGAGAGGCAAAAGAGCTTATAGATGAGCGCGACAATTTGAGGAGCGAACTCGAGATGGAGATAGCCAGCTTGCAAAAGGCATTGGAGGAAGCGAACAGGGAATCGCTGCAATTGAAAACAATTATGCAAGAGCTTCGCGCTGCCCATTCTGCCGAGATCGGTCGTATCAAATCCGAAATGAAAGCTCAGGAAGCAAGCTTTGCAGAGAAGATGGATGAGACGCGCACCATTCACGAGGCTGAGCGTGCCAAATTGAAAGGAGAGCTTTTGGACACCACTAATGCGTTGGTGAAACTAAATGCAGTGCTGGAGGACGAGCAAAGCAAATCCGCTTCTGTCATAAACAGCCTGAAAATGGACTTGGCAAACCAAGCAAGCGAGCACGACCGGGAATCGGAGCAGATGAAGAAGAAACATGACGAGGACTTGAAGTTGGCATCCGCCTCCCTTGCCAAATTGCAGCAGGAATTGGAGGAACAGCGCGCTGCATCGTCCAGTGATATCGCGTGTCTAACCGCCAAAGTGGAAGCCCAACAGTTGGAACTGGAAAGAAAACTTCGTGAGGCCGAGGTACAATACGACGCGTGCAAAGCAGCTTTGGAAAAAGAGTTGGACGCTGAAAAGGCACTGGTCGCTCAGTTGAAGGAAGATCTCGGGAAGGAGCAAGAAGCCCGTCTTGATGAGAGTCAGCGTAAGACAAGAGAGATTGAAGCACTAAAAAGCGAACATGACTGTATTCTGCAGCGGACGCACGAGAACCACGAGCTGGCTCTAAAGAAAGTTCAAGAGCAGGCGGATGAATCAGTCAGTAACTTGACAGCCGCGTTGGAAGAGCAGAGCAACAACCATGACGCAGAAAAACAGCATTTAAGAAATGACTTTGAAGCAAAGCTGCAGGGCATCCAAATGGGACATATGACCGACGTGGCGCGTCTTACATCCGAGATAGCCACACTTAGCGAAGCAAAGCGAGCGGCGGAGACTGAAACACAGCTCATGAGGGTTAAAGTAAAAGATATTGAAGAGCGCTTGCAGGAAGGCACTACAAGAATTGAGGAACTGGAGAAGAGTTTGGAGCAACGACGCACTGAGGTCGATCGCGAGCGAGAAGCGAAGCAGGAAGCTGAAAGCCGATCCGCTGAAATTGCGAAAGAGCTGGAAATGGAGCGGAATACTCGGGGAGCGGCCATCAGAAATAGCCTAAAGGAAGTGGCCGCCCTAAAGGCTGAGTTGACCGAAACCCGAAATGCACTCTCTGTTACAGAACTGAAGAAAGCCAACGAGTTGTCTACCAAAGATGTTCAATTGCGGAAATTGCAAAATGATTTGAGATCAAGGATAAACGAGATCAGCGAGATTAAGAACCAAGCAAAATCAGCTGTAGCGAGCGCAAAGAAGGACGCGGAAAAGGCCCGGGAAGAACTCAGTAAGGTGGTTGAGGAAAGACACAGATGGACGGACATGGAAAAGGAACTAAGAGAAGTCGAAAAGGCGAGGGAGAGAGAGAATTTGGAGCTTACAGAAAGACTGAAAGACATGGAAGAGGTGCTCGGCAACGTAACTGAGCAGAATGACAGGTACGGGAAGGCAAGGACGTGGCAGTGGGGATGTCTCATCTTGGCACATGTGATGCAGTTGATAGCAGGCTGGTACATGTATACCGTCTGGTTGGATATGGTTTTTGGCGAGGAACTAGCTGTTACTTGAACCAAAAAGCAATGTGCTTATTCATCTGCTCGTGGACACATGCTTGTGATGTGTTGATTATTGTGACCTAATCATACCTGCGCCACATCATCCACGACAGGCTCAAAGTACTCCTTGAAGATGAGGAGCGTCGGCGTAACGAGATGGAGGCAAGTCATCAGTCTCAATTGGACCTCCTGAAAACGCGCGGACAGTTGAAGGAAAACGAAGTGAAGAAACTTGGGGAGCTCAACGCGGAGTTGTTTGGCCATGCGAACACGAAGCAGAAGATTAGACATGTCGCTCAATTGAAAGAGGAGAACGTGAAATTGAAAACGGTAGGTGATCGGCCGGAGTTTGAAGCGACCTGCAAATCTCTAGACAATTGTCCGCATTTCCAGGACAATGTATCCTTATCACGACGTTGTGAGGATATGAAGCGTAAAATCATGAACTTGGAGCGAGAGGTAGAATCCTTTAGAGCGATTGGTGCAGTTGGTGGCGGTGGCCACCCACGTAAACTGTCGCGCGTCGGCCGGTCTGTGTTGGCCAAGCGCCAAGATCCAGAAACATTGGGGAACTTCACGCTAGCTGGCGAGAGTATCGAAGAGACGGAAGAGGATATTGGCGAGAACAAGGAAAATACTGTAAATTTCGCTAGTGGGGGAATCAGTTTCGTTGTATAGGAGCAAGTGGAAATTGGGGTGTAGCTGCGTCTTCCATTGGTTTTGTATTTAGAGTGTTTTGTTTTAATTATCCAATAAACTCTGGGCCTGCGGGTTGTCGAAATGTAATAGACTATTGGAACTAAAAACAAAAGCGAGGTTAGGATCGCGAGGGCGGGCTTGCCGTTACGTAATGAAATGACTCAACTGTCGCTTAGCAACAGTCGATCAACCTTCGTCTCCTTCCACTCTGTTCCCGCTACTCTTGAATATCGAATCCTGTCAATATGCTGTCCAGACAAGGCCGAATTCCGCATGCGATATCGCAACAAACAAGGAACACTCTACTCTACCGGGGCATGGCGTCTTTGAAAAAGATCCCACTCACACGACCAACAGGCGTGAACCCACCGCTATTTCACCAAACGATTGTCCATTCCGACGGCAGCACGTTCACTCTTCGCACCACTTCCCCCCGACCTCTCCTCAAATTGACAAAAGATGCCCGTAATCATCCCCTTTGGAATCCTGCCTTGAATGTTCTGGATGATCAAAGCGGGGAGTTGGCCAAGTTCGAGAGGCGTTTCGGGGAGGTGGCTGATCTGGGCGATTTGGCAGAGTATGAGGTTGTTGAGGCTGCGCCGAAGAAGACAAAGAAAGTGGTCGAGGCAGAGCCAGTACAGGCTGCAAAGAAGGGAAAGAAGAAGAAATAGCGCGTGTTGCACCATCGAGCAGACTGTATTTGTTCCATACCGATATATTTAGACGGTTGTATATCAACACTCAGAGATACATAAATTATCAATACAAACAATGTGGGGAGCGCCTTTGTCATAATCTGAAACTTAGCGTCTTGTCGGAATGATGTACCATTAGTTGCTTTGCCCGTGGGTGCTCCCAATCGTTCAAATCCTTCAAAATCCAAAATCATTCATAATAGCAAGCAGATCGTCTGCAAAATCTTTTGGTGTCGCGGATTTGGAGTCCTCCCCTTCCTTCTTCGGCGGTGAATTCGCCGTTGAGTTACTGTCCACTTCGGACTCAGGCTGGAGATTCAATTGTTCAGCTACACTGGGTACAGCGCTTTGCGGCTCTTTTGCTAACGGTCCTATGGTAGTTTTTGTGAAGTCCACTTCGGATGTAGGCTGAGCCCCAGCGGTTTCCACTGCAGCCGACTCAGATTCTTGCTCGTTCGCTGGCACGGTGGTTGATTCAGAGGTCATTCCGGACGCTGGCCGGGGTTCTGCAGGCTCCGCCGCAGATGCAGCGATAGACTCCGATTGCTCCTGCCCCTGGACAATTTCAGACTGTGCAACATCCTCAGAGACAGGTAACTTCAAGTGTCGCCTTATTTCCCTGGTTTTTGCCTAAGACGCTAGTCGGTACATTGGGTCAGATAAAGCGAAACATAAACTTTTGTTACCTGGATATCTGCCATCACAGACGCAGTCTTGGCGGTGGAGGCTTCCACTTTTGCTTTAATGGTGTCCTGGTGCTATCAGCGGTACCCAAGACGTATGAGTGATTCTGGTGAAGACTTTAATGATGACTGGCTTGGTCTTACCTGCCAAACACCATGGGTAATGTCGTTTAATTTTGCTTCGCTCAGCGATACATCAGTTTTGGTGACTGGGCACAGAAAATTAATATCTCTTTCCATCTGAAGGGCCAGTGCTCATAATAGTCAGTATGCTAACCTGGTTGGGCACCCAGTCCCACCACCTGCTTCTCCAGCGCCATGATTCTACGCATCAACAATTCGATCGCGGCATGGAGATCAAGATGTTCTCGCTTTCGCGCCTCAGCTTCTTCAGTAAGCTTACGAAACTCTTCCGCAAAATTTGGATCGTCTAATACTTCGATCAGTATAGTGACCAGCATCATCCGCCTGGTTAATCATTTACCTGTGAACTTTGCTACGCCGAAATGGGCACGACGTCTGTATTTCGTCAATAGCTGCTCCTTCTCTTTCTAATGGTCAGAAATAGTGGGGATCGTGAGCAGCTTATATGCAGCTACGTCGCCGGCCAGGCATACCTGAAGAGACTCGCACAGGTGTTTCAACTCTAGAAGTTCGCGCTTCTGTGGATCGGTTTCCAGAGCAAGTTTTGCAGATAGTGAGTCGTCCGTTGAAGACATGGGACTTTGGGTCAGATTGGGAGCGGACTTGGAGCTTAAGACACAGGTCAGAAAAGAGGACCTCAAGCAACAGGCATGCATTGACAATTTCATACAGGTCTTTGGCGTCCTTTTTCGGGATACGGGCCCCCATTGGTGACGGCGGTCTCCTGGCCGCATCGAATAAGTGACCCAAGCTTGCTGATATCGGTCTTTCGCTATCGACTATAATTTTTGGTGAAGGGGTCGTCCTCGTCATATTGGCAGACGCAATACGAGGAGGCGGTGGCAAAGGAGAGTGATTTGTAGACCGAGCGGAATGCATCTCTGACCTGATACATAGGAGATGATGTTAACTAACTATCCGCAACCACGTTAATGTAGAAACCACACCTGCTCGCCAAACTTTGCAAGCTCCTCACAGAAGCTTGCGATGCGTTTTTCTTTTCAAAATCCGGAGATCCCAAACCGACCATCGGAGAAGGATGGACAAGGGCCGATTCGGTGAGTGATGTGGCTTCTGGTGCGCTTACGGGATTATCTTCACTCCGTGCTGTGGAAATTGTGAGCTTTTCATAGTTGACTGGTTTACGACGTGGTTTAACGTTGCTGGTCATGGCTGGGCTTGCAAAATTTGACGGTCCCAGCGGTTTTGCAACTGAAATAGACATCTAATGACAGAATATACGGGTAAATGAGCCTAGAGTTGAAGTCTCACAGGCAGGAACTGCCAGAAGCGATCAGAGTACACGGCAACGAGCAGTTTCTACAGAACAAGTGCGATCAATCTTTTTAAAGCACCAAAAACATGTGATGGATAAAGTAGGCCCCCGTTGGGCTAACTTTGAGGGACGGCTATCGCTGGGGATGTTTGTCCATGACGCCTGGTTTTCGCAAATATCCAAAATATAGCAAGTCGAACCCAAGGCGGGCCAAATTGTTAGCTTACCAAAGCATACTCTCCTGGACATCGCGAGAGTGGCACAGGTATAAGGTGGCACTGTCACTTAAGTAGTGGCATAGTTGAATTTTTTTTGACGAAATGCATAATAGAACTTCAAGTCCTTTCAATGCTTTCGCTAGCGCACACTTACAGACATGGGGAAGCGTAGCCGGGCAGAATTTCTTGCCTCCAATCTCCCTCAACTTCAGAACTTGATAAAGCGGGACCCACCATCGTATCAAGACGAGTTTCTGCAACAATGGCGGCACTACGAGAGCGAGCTGGCCATTTTTCGCCTGAAACCGGACTCGGAAGCAAAGGAATTCGGAGAGCTTATTACCTTCATTAGCCACGTAGCGCAATGTTATACCCATCACTGTTCCCAATTCCCGCAGCAGATTATTGACCTACTCTCCAATAACTACCAAATCCTGGAACCTGATCTCCGCAAAACTATGGTGCAAGCACTGGTCCTATTGCGGAATAAGGACCTGATATCAACAACAAGTTTACTGTCGCTGTTCTTCACCCTATTTCGTGCCAAAGACAAGCAATTACGGTCGCTACTTCACTCTCACATTGTCAACGACATCAAGAACGCGAATGCCAAATCGAAGAATAACAAATTGAACAAGACGCTACAAAACTTCATGTACACCATGTTGAAGGATTCGAATGAAATTGCGGCGAAGAAATCTTTGGAAGTAATGATTGACTTGTACAGAAAGAATGTGTGGAACGACGCGAAGACTGTGAACGTTATTGCCGAGGCATGCTTTTCGCCAGTTTCCAAAATTGTGGCGCCCGCCTTGCATTTCTTCTTGGGCTCAAACGACACAAAAGATGATGAACAGGATTCTGACGGGGATGTGCCTGACATATCCGCGCTATCTCATACGTTGAGCATAAATAAGAAAAAGAAATCTAGAAAGAACGCAATGGAGAAGGCGATGGCGACCGTGAAACGTAAACAAAGGGCAAAAGCAAAAGCGGAAACGTTCAACTTCTCAGCACTTCATCTATTGAACGATCCCCAAGGCTTTGCTGAGAAATTGTTTTCCCGGCTCAAGCATACAACTTCGACGAACGCCTTCCGCTTTGAACTACGCCTCCAAATGATGAACCTAGTGTCGCGTCTCATCGGCGTGCATAAGCTGATTCTCTTTGGGTTCTACGAGTATATCATCTCCTTCTTGAAGCCGCATCAACGAGAAGTCACCGCAATTTTGGCTTACGCAGCGCAAAGCTCCCACGAACTTGTCCCCCCTGATGCCATTACTCCGGTCGTTCAAGCTATAGCCGATAATTTCATATGGAACAACGTATCATCGGAGGTGGTTACGGCTGGTCTAAATGGACTGCGGGAAGTTTGTGCCCGCTGTCCCTTAGCCATGTCCGAGACACTGTTGCAGAGTTTGATAGAGGATTACAAAAATACTCGAGAGAAGGGGCCAATGAACGCTGTGCGATCTCTGCTCGGGCTCTACAGGGAAATCAACCCGGAAATGTTACGTAAGAAAGACAGAGGAAAGGCGGCGGTGGTGAACCTAAAAGACTTCAAAGCTCCCAAATACGGCGAAGTCCATGTTGCAGATGGCATTGAGGGTGCAGAATTTTTGCACTCTAGAAGTAACGGTGAAGCTGGCTTGGAGCAGGATGCTCAATTGAATGAGGATGAGGAAGAATCGCTGGATAACGAAAGCGCAGATGAGGAAGAAGAAGAAGAGGAAGTGCAAGGCGAAGATGGTTGGGAAGGGTGGGAAGAGGCGTCTATGGACGGTAGTGAGGACGAGGGTAGTGACGAAGATGAAGACGAGGATGAGGACGAGAACGAGGGCGAGAACGAGGAGGAGAATGGGGATGAGGCGATCAAGCAAGCAGCCGCTGAAGAGAAAGACTTGCAAGCGGATGAGGGGCAGGTCGCTATAGAAAACGGAGATATCCCGTCACCCCCGAAAAGAAAAAAGCTCGGGGTTGCAACTGAAAAGGTTGGTCCTGATCTTTATGTGTTCATACTTGTCGATATTCAACTTAACCCCCACTCTCAACCTAGATTTTTACGGACGAAGATTTCCGCAAACTGAGGAAGATTCAGCAGCTGAAGGCTGCCCAACGGTTAGCTGGCCTCAAGCCGTCTGAGGTGGAGGAAGAGCTGGATTTAGCCTCTGATGAAGACAATCTCGAACAGGACGAGGACAAGTACGTTTGATTAGCATCTTTGGACCCATTGCTTCCATATTTACCTGCGTCTCTCTGTTTTAGGGACGTTGTGGACGTGTCTCGCATCATGCGCGGTATTAAGCGCAAGGACGACTACGAAGCACGATTGGCATCCATCAAAGAAGGTCGAGAAGGAAATGAGTACAAATCCAAGAAAGGCAAAGAGGAGCGGAGCAGCTTAACCAACCGAGAGAAGTCAAAGAAAAACAAGGCGTTTATGATGATGGTACATAAGAAAAGTGTCAAGGGGAAAGCAAAAAGATCGTTGCGAGAAAAGCAAAAAGTATTACGGGCGCACATCAAGAAGCAAAAGATGAAAAAGTAATGAGCTAGATATTGCGTATAGTTGATTCGCTCATTATCCTATATACGTTTTTGTACATATTCTTTGTTATGTATATTTAAATTAGAATACAGATCTAGCCTTTTGCGCAGTGGAAAATCAAAGCCCTTTGAGGCTTGGCTCGCTGGTTTCAGACGCAAGCCACAACTCCTTTGCGGAGCTACGGAGCAAATGGTAGACTTTTGAGATCTACACCTTGCGCGCCGTCACAAAAACTAGTCAACATGGCAGGCGGTCCACTTCACGAGTTGGGAATACTTTTGAAGAAGATCGGCTTCAAAAGGATAAAGAAGGTGCCCCTGTTGTTCAAATTCCCCGGAATATGCATTCAGCCTGACTTTGTCTCGTCAGTTCCTTCAAAAGTTGTTTCATGACCAAGCGACTCAAGCACCGCCAACCCAGCAGCAACAACAGCAGCAACCACAGCAGCAGTATTACCAGCAACCCTACCCAGCACCCGACACGAGATGGAATCAGAGTCAACCGCTCGCACCAGTTCCTCAGCCACAGCAAGGACAGCCGCCGGTGAGCGGCGCTTGGAGTCACGGTCCTCCGCATATAGCAGCCCCACCCCAGCAACAGCATGCGGCGCCCGCATCACAACTCCCAACTTACCCGGCGAGCAGCCAGGCGGTAGCCGTCCCACAACCTACGCCTCAGGAGCTGACCAATCTTGCTGACGCTGTCGCAAGGCTGTGGGAACTGGATGCCAATCGGCTGGAGCCGGGAAGAGATTTTAGCCTCAATCTACAGAATGCGACCAAAGTCTACGCTCAAGGTAAATTGATGATCAGGAACGCTGATAATAGCGAGCATTACTAAGTGTGTGGTGGTAGTGGACGCTAGCCCCGCGCCCCTCTTTGCCAACGTCTCACCTGAAATCTTGCGCCGATTTCCAACATATGTGCTGTTTATGGCCTTGCTTGACAACTACCATGCACAGAATGGAATTGCCGAAAAGGTGACGGCAGAGGAGATTAAGGAGCAAAACGCGTTCATTGAAGAGCTGCTGAAGACGGCTCCCATACAATATTGCCACCGTTATTTGGCGGCAAAAGCGCTTGCACCAGCAAATTTGGGAGAATTTAAGCAGCTGTTAAAGCGCATATGGTTTGATGTAAGGATCAACAGGTATGAAATTCAACAACCTTGAACCGCGGATCTAATGGATCCTTACTTCCATAGTTGTATAAGCGCCAGGTCGCTAATGATTCATCAGCATTTGAACACACGTTTGTGGGTGAAATGAAGGCAGAGCAGGGTGTTGTCGGTTTTCACAACTGGATTCAGTTTTTCTTGGAGGAACGCAAGAGAACCGTGGATTATCGAGGTTACATCCTCCCCCGACGAAGGAATGGTGGAGGTCAGTCGCCAGAGCACTCGCACGTTTTGAGTTTCCAGTTCAGCTGGCACGGCGAGGTGAAGCCAGTTTCTACCTTTTTCATTGGAACAAGGTAGGCGCATTTTCATCTTTGTAATGGTTATGATCGGCTAAAGGGTGTTGCTTTATCAGTCCCGAGTTCGAGATTGCCCTCTACACCCTTATATTCTTAACAGGACAAGAGGACAACGTTGTTTACATTGAGGATACTGAAGTGAACATTAAATGCCATAAATTTCAGTCTGCGCGCGGACTACGTCTTGGATCTTGCTACCCTGTATCTGGGTAGTTTCTGATTGCACAAATTAGCTGAATTCCTAATAGTTTTAGACTCGTAGTATTTTCTATAGATTATCACTCTTGTTGGGGATACAATTTTGGAAAATAACGTTAGGGTTAGACTTTGCAGCCAAGATGAGCACTAGTTGATCTCCTCGTCGGGCTTTGAATCTTTTGATACATTTGGCATCGACATTCAAATCACCAGATTTCCACCGAGATGCAAGCAGAACCTGCGATGAAAACCCCGGCAATCAAGTCGTGCCGTTGCAAAGCCAAACGACTCCAAATAAGCATCCGCAACACACAAATTTTGCGTTGAGTGACGAACGCGAAATTAGTAGGATTGGGGAGGTGAATAACGGGGGGAGGGTTGATAAAAAGGCCAGTAGGGAAGGAATCTGATTTCGAGCTGCTTTCTTGCTTGAACTGGTTTGTGGGAATTCCCGTATGTCTGTTTGAGACATGGCGCGAAGCCGGTGCTTGACGGTCAAGTCGTTGCCGCAAGGCAAAGACCGGGCGGATCTCTTGGATCTGGTGAGATCTGAACAATTCCGAAAGGGTCTTGTGCGCGTTGTATTTGAAGACGATGGTAAGAACGCTCTTGGAAGGCACTTGCTCAACGCTGACACAATTCGTAAAAGCTATTCTTTAGAAAGCTAACTCACACTTTGGCACCGTGGTTTAGGTCGCGTATCGCTGATCTATACGGATGCTGACCTTGCCAATGACGCTCTGAAGGCAATCCATTCGGTGACGGCCATAGATATCGCCCTTAGTCAAGAGGAACCCGCCATTACCTCTTCGTCTCGCCAGAACACAGAGCCAAACCCGGTCGTGTGGATTGCCCCAGACTCCACTCCCTTGGACAAAGAAGAGCTTCGAAAGATTTTACAATGCTATCGAGGCCTGGAGCTCTTTGGACTGGTACACGGCGAACCACCGCATACAGGCAAGGGAGGGCCGCATAACCGTGCAAGAACTACGCATCAAGCCGAAGTTCCTTATGCTTGCTTCCGGGATGTATTTTGTGCCGAGAATGCGGTGGAGGACCTGTCCAAGCACACCAATCTGGTGAGTGGGTTTGCCAACAACCCTGGTTCCATTCGAAAGATTCTCGAACGGAAAGAGAATTTGGGCAGAACATCCTCTCGAGTCTCTGTCGATAGGATGACGTGGATCATCGTGTCGGAGGTGCCTGATGACGTCGCTTTGGGAAGTCTTCGGCGCCATTTTGGTCGCTTGGACGGATTTGTCTTCCTCGGCTTACAGCCAGAAGCACTGTTCCTTGGATTTCAGACCGTGGCTCAAGCCAGAAAGGCAGCGGATAACCTGATACGGAACACGCGAATGAAAGTTCGCCCAGCGCATAAACGTGACGTTCAGGCTTTACACATGCCACCAAAATGCGACCCTTCGCAACCGACGGCTGTTTTGATTATCAGATCCCCACCCTGGTTACATCAACGACGGGTTGCGGAGCTTTTACAGCTGTACGAAGGGTTCCAAGAGCTAAAGCCCGGACAACAGTTTCTCTTGGCGAAGTTTGAGACTGTTGATCAAGCATCACGTGTTCTTAAGGAATTGGAGGCCACCACCAACCTACAGATTCGCTATTCCAAACCGTCCGAAAGTAACGGCACACAAGGCGCCGATATCCAGGCTTCAGAGGAAAGCGGGGCGATAGGTGGTTTAGTGGGTACAACAGGCTCTCGTGCACGAAGTAATTCGGTGACCTCAATCTCGTCGGTTACCTCGATCACTTCTAGCGCTCATTCCATTAATGAAAGAGCTACATTACGAGGATCTTCATCAGTGTATTCAAGACCATCTGCATCCGAACCTTTTCCTTTCGCCTCGGCCATGTTAATCAACGTGTCTGATCTTGCGACAGTGGATGATAGCTTTCGCCACCTCGTGGGAAAACTCGATGGCTTTGAACGAATGGCGTTTTACGATGAAGGCTGTTATTCCTGGTTCGCTACCCGTGAGCTAACTGAAAAGGCCGCTAGTCACATCGAAGCGGAAAGGCACATCACACCGATTTTGGTCGAGAAGCGACGTCCTCGCCAGAGAGCACCGCCAATTCAGCCACCTCACGCAGAACAGTATGCTGGGTCACTGTTTGTGCGTTGCCCGCCAGGTTTGACCAAAGAAGCACTGCAACTGATATTGGAGCATTACCCGGGATACGTGGCATGTCGCCATTTGAGGGATGCCATCATAGTGGATTATGAGGACCAGGAAGCTGCTAATAGGGTGATGAAGGATTTACGGGTTCACACCAACATCAGGGTGGAATATTCAAACAAATCGGCCCAATCGGGTAATCGTTATCTGGTCGATGATCGTACCGAAGCGGCCGGCGTTACATCCGAGGATGAAAGCCTACCGTCGGAGCTCAAGAACTCGTCAACCCAAGCTCTTGTACCTGGTGGTCGCACTATTTACGTGACCCAGCTAGGTGGCAAGGACAAGGTAATGACATACGATTGTGGCACTGTTGAAAGCCGGTTGTTAACTTCACACTTGCACCTAAGGCGGATATAAAAACGCTTTGTTTGCAGCTGCCTGGATTTCATCGAATCCAATTTGGCCAAACCAATTTTCGCGTCGTTTTCAAGGACTCAGAGAGTGCGTCTCAAGCCATGCTGAAAATAAAACGGCTTGTTCGAAGCTGGAGGGCCAGTTTTGCTCGGAAAGAACCTGAGCAGAAACTTATTGCCGACATTGGTGAGCCATCAAAGGTAACATTTGATCAATGTTCAAGATCATCGTGACATTGTGCTTAGCGTGTTATTCTAATAGGTTTTATGGACATCCACGCTGTATTGGACGGAGGCCGAGTTGCGTAAATATCTTGAAATGTATCCGGGATTTGATCGCCTTGACTACGACACGTCTCACAGTTGGATACATTTTGCGGATGTCAGCTCTGCTCGTGCGGCGTTGACAGACATGAACTCCACTACCAACTTGTATTCTGTGTTCTCGTCGAAGAGGTTTGAACTCGATGAAAGGACATGCCGGCAATTGGGAACAATTCCGCCTGCGAATACTTCAGACGCTATTCCAGTGGCTAAGGTGTCCGCAGAATCCGACCAACGCGACAGGTCGAATGATCGACATGCGTGGGAATCTGGAGAGGATCGGGCACCTTCTCGAGACGGCAAGAGTCTCAAAACGTATCAGGACACGGAGCTGCCTTCTCCAAACCATTCTTCGACTGCCCAACCTCCAAGAAACTCAAATCTGACCATCGTCACCTCTGAGGCGCGCTTGGGGTCGAAAATGTTATTCGCTGGTGAAGACACCAAGAAAGTGGCAAGCAGTCCGGGTGCAGAACATTTCCCCACTAGACGAATCACCGCGAAACCCCGAGAGGTCAGTTTGCAACTTGCTCAATAATGGCATAGCAGTTGGTTGTAACACGGGCTTCTCCGGTTTAGATAATATCCAACATAATAATCATTCGAAATAGCTCGACGAATGAGAGGGAAGAGCTGGAGACTATTTTTCAAGAATATCCAAATTTTGAGGGTCTTGCCTGTGAACAGAAGGGATCATTCTTAGTCTGGTTTTGCCGATTTGCTGACTTGGAGTCGGCAGCGACGGTGTTTCACAGCTATGAAGTGAGTGTGTTGTTTGAGTCTTTGCCTTCAATTTGCAGCTGGCCGACTAATCTTTGTAATAAACAGTTGCGGGAAAAATTAGGAAAGGGATACGGTGGTGTAAGCTTTCAATACTGTGGGACGGAGAAAGTTCCGCTGGAATGGAAGGATTTCCTAGTTGAAATCGATGGACCGGATGATGATCAACTTGAAGGAGATACGCAATGGTCCGCCGAACATGCTGAGGATGACTCGTTTGAGGATGTCTCTGGCAGCCTTGCTGATCCGTGGTCCCTGCCACCGAGTCAACGACAGTCCGATCCAGAGGCTGAAGTTGCGGTGGTGAGCGCTTCCTCAAAGAATTGGGACGCCATTACCGATGGGTCTTCAGCCAAGGCCACGTCGCTGACATCTCCATGGGAAGCATCCAAACCATGGTACGAGAGCGTCGATGAAGAGATATATCCGGACCAAGTATCCCCGGTGTTCCCCAATGAGGAGGTATCCGATCATATCGTATCCACCGACAGTTGGGGCGACCCAACCGCGCCAATCTTTGATGCTGGAGCTCCTGAATTTGTACCCGGAAATGCCAACATTTCCTGTCATGAAGTACCGTCCTTCACTGAAGGCAACCCGGTGCACATTTATGCTCCTGCGGAGGTGGAAGGACTTTACGAATCAGAACCGATTCATGTCCACACTTCAGCATCACTCGCTCGCCCATCCATACCCGAGCACAATACCAAGCATGCCGCACTCCTTTCAGAAAACACGGCTCTGCGCAAAAAGCTAAGTAACAGCAACTTCCGTATAAGCCGAGCAGAAAGCGAGTTGCAAAGACTGGAAAAGCTCTTGACGGAGGTTGGAGGCGTGGAGGAAGTTCTCGAAGAGGATCCGTGGGGTGCTCCAGCCATCGAAGATAGACTAGAAGCCACATTGTTGGAAGAGAAAATAAAAAAGGTTGTAGGATTAGTGAAAGGTTTAATGAGGAAAATTGAGGTCTCAGAATAGTGAGGTAGGCAAATCTGGACAGAAAAGTGTATGTCTAGAGTGGGTAGGATAGTTTTACTATTGAATCTTTTTTGGAGTTTTAATACCACAATGATAGCCCATTGAGGGATCTGAAGCGAAGAACTGTCTAAAACCTTGACGAAATATCAATCTCTGCCGCAGCAGGAAAATCGTTTGTGCTTGCGATGTGCAATGAGGATAATGACAATAATCTATTGAATTTCCGGCCAAGACTCCCATCTCAAATGGTCTTTCGTTCTTCATCCAACGCCTTTTGCTGGTCGGTACGAGTCACTACAGGTTTAACTTCCCCGCCGGTAGCAGCTGATGCTTTGTTTGCTGCTTCGCCAAACAAATTTACGACCAAGTCTCTCGCACTGGCAAATGCACTTGACATTTGTGGAAACACGTCGAGGAATGTAGGTCCTTCCGAACGGCCAGTCGTACTTTTGTATGCTGCTGACACGATGTTCCGAGATGTGCCGGGATAGAAGTAGCTGAAGGCAACGAGCGCGAACGTTGCTGGGGTCGCGCTGCGATACAGTAGGCTCCCTGCAAATTCAATCATTGTGAGCTTTTACCACATCGGCTGCAATATCGACGCATCAAGCAGCTTACGGTTTTTAGCGAGAATGGAACCTGCGAATCCCGAGAGCGTGACATAAATTGCGCCGGGAAGGAATGGCTCGCCGGGGGCGATGTACTTTTTCGTCGTGCCTACAAACAACATGCGTCACGTTGGCCACCCCAAACCTCCTTCCACGTTCCCTCTCACCAGTAACTTGTTGCTCTAAATGAATCCACTTGTCTACGACCGATTGTATCTGAGCTCTCGTTGTTGCGAATTGATTGGTAACAGTGTGCCGAGTCTACGTGGAGTCAAGTGTCAGGTCTTCTTTAAAAGTAACAAGGAATCACGCCGGTTGACGGCCGTCCGTGGGTCCTCACCTGACGAATGGCTAACTCTAGTTGCGTTGGCTCTTCTACTGGGACAAACTCTTCTTCAGAGTCATCATAGATACTCCGTTTCTACGGTAGCAACTCCAGTTACGGATGGAACATACAAACTACGTCCGAGTGTCCCATTGCTCGACGCATGCACACGCAAACTGCAAGAAATCGTACCGTTCTTGGGGGCACATATGGCTTGGCGGTTTCACCTTCCGTATGCACGACCATCATAGTGCCCATGGCTACCGAGAGTATCCCTCCTGAGACTGCAAAGAAAGGGGCGGTTCGTCGCTAAATCGATACGAACAAGAGGTCAGCAGTTTGCTTACAACATGGTACATGATGGAAAGATAGTACTGTTGGTGTATTCACTTTCGCAGCAGGAATGCTACGCACATTTCTGACAAAGATGGATGCTATAGGGCGCATCTTGCTGCTTTGAGAAACCAACGCACTCACGCTAAACGATGATGAATCGTCAACTTTACTGTGCCGCACGTTGCATAGCAATAACCAGGTAGAAGCTGTCGATAATGTTTTGGCTTTCCATCTGCCCATGCGATAGCCATGGAAGGCATTGGGCGCATTTATCAACTTGGTCTGCCTCTTTACAGCTTGAGAAATACGTTGAGGTCCAAAACATTGCGTTTTCAAAGAGGTTTAAGATATAAGTTCAGCCCGTTCTCCACGCTTAGCCCACCCTCGAACGCAATCACCATTGGATACAAATATCTTGGCAAGTCAGTGTCCTACTCGGCCGCATTGGAATTGCAGGATCAGTTAGTTGCAAGCCGTACAAGCTATCCCGACGTTGGTCCCGATGCGGCGCACAGTGTGAACGTACTATTACTTTTGCAGCATTCACCAACGTACACGGCGGGTAGACGCGTTCGGAACACGGACGCAACTGAGGGTAGAAGGTTGAGAGCTCTAGGGGCAGAATATTACGAGGTACGTAGTTGAAAGATTGTATTATGCCATTCATTGATCAATTCCCCTCTTTACGTTTACAGACACGACGAGGTGGTCAGACGACCTTTCATGGTCCAGGGCAATTAGTTGGATATCCGATCCTAGATCTAAGGCAATTCGGTGTGAGTCTATATCGTCCAGCCTTGCGGGCACCGTGACCCGTCCTGGAACCAATTCTTTGAACCCTAGCTTGGGGTTCGTAGTTATGTCCAACGATTAGAACGCTTTCTCATTCTGACCTGTGAGGAATGGGGTATCGCTGCAAGCACAACCGAGGACACGGGTGTATGGGTGACCGACAGGAAGATTGCTGCACTTGGCATCCAAGTTCGAAAGCACATCACCAGTCATGGGTTTGCTTTGAATTGCAACACTGATCTGTCCTGGTATAACCACATCGTGCCTTGCGGTTTGTTGGACAAGGGCGTAACATCCATCACAAATGAGATTGCCCTGAAAAACAATGGTAGGATCCCATCAAATCAACTTTGATGTCCTGTACTCGGCACCAGCTGACCTAGAGCAATAATAGGTGAAGCTGACGTGAGTGTGGAGACAGTTATTCCTCATGCCGTCAAAGCGTTTGGGGATGCCTTCAGTGCTCCTATGTTGCCTTTGAGTCAAGTTTCAAAAACTTTGGATTGTGAGATAGATGCTTTCTTGGGGAATCAGACCTAATTAACCCTTCGTTTGCCTGTGACCCTTTTACCGTTGTTCTGTGGCCTCGTTACCGTCGTCCTGTGGTACCTACAGAAATTGATCCGTTCTTCCTGCACTATTTGCTTTTCATCGTTCCTCCTCATGGACAATTGCTTGTAAAATAAAATCCGTTAATAATTTTTGCAAATAAAAACCATTTTGATGGCAAGAACGCGATGATCGGCTACAGTGGCCGGTCAGCAAATCGGACCAGCGACAGAAAGCCAGGACCAAAAGCTTATAAAAAAAAACAAAAGAGGAGCTACATGGAAAGGTATAAGTTTAAGCCTTTCCTCTCTTTGCAGTAGCTGTCGGGAGGTTGGAACTTCACATGGTCATGGCCCGTTGGGTGACGCTCATTGTTGTGACTTTCCTTCTCTCGGTGCAGGGATCGCCTGTCCCTAACAAAGCTTCTGCGGCCACCCCTTCACCAGTCGGGAATTTGACTGGTACTTTTGTCGCAGATCTCCGGCAATGTCAACGACCTCGAGCTAGGAACGCGACCTCAACGAGCCCGACGAGGGTCTCGGATCTTCGGCCAGACGATATAAAGATTTTTATGACCTTGGGAGACAGTATTGGTGCAGCTTTGTTCTCCAAAGTATGTCTATTGAAGCTGCGACTGGGGATGCAATGGAGTTACTGATTTGTTCTCCCGTAGGGTTGGGGAAACGGCGCTCCTTCATTGATGGAAAATCGAGGATGGTCGTATGCGTCTGGCGGAGGGCCTAATGTCTCGAGCCTTGTCAATTTTTTCAAAGTGTTTTCCCCGTCGGTGCGAGGTGAATCAAATGGAAACAATATAATTCGGCCTTGCTATGGACCACTGTGTTTGGACCCCGAACTTACCTACAAGAAGGACTTTGGTTATAACTTGGCACTGAGTGGAGCGTTGGTCACGAATTTGGCCGCGGAAGTGGAGGTTTTGACTGATATAGTACGAACTGATCCCGACGTAAACCTGCAAAACGACTGGAAGGTATGAAAGTATGCGGACGCATGATGTGTCGCTGTTGTCGCTGACCATTGTGCTACCGTAGTTTTTGACTGTTCTAATCGGTACATGACAATGTGCTTTTGTTTGATATGTATATACAACTAATCAACACAAAGGGGCGAATGATCAGTGCTTGTCGTGCGCAAACCTACTCCCCACCAGAAAATACGAAGAGGAAATTCGCAAGACAATCGAAACCCTGCGGAAGAACTTCCCTAGAACTGTCCGTATCCGTGCTTTCGAATTTGTCTCTTTCAAACAGAATATAAATGATTGACCTCTCAACGGCTCTCCACAGATTGTACACTTCTCAACCATATTCAAAGTGAGCGGACTGTATCAGTATAACCGCGATCGCGAGTATTGTCGAAAACTGCGTGGGTTTGGAGGAATAGTCGAATGTCCTTGCGCGTTCGCGGGTGGAGATACAAGGATCGGCGGCTACATGCGCTCACTTATGGATAAGGCAGCTGATGCATGGAATGGTAAACTCCATCGCATCGCCAAGGACTATTCCGGGAAATATGAAGATTTTGCTGTTGTCGTAGATCCAGGATCAGGCGGCATTCCAGTTGTAAGTAACAAAAGCCGAGTTTCATCTACCCCAGTAATTCGTCCTGTCTCTGTTATGCCATGACAATAATTTATATTTCACTTCGAAGGACAAATTTGGACAAGACTATATTTCCTCTATCGATTGTTTCCATCCCTCAAGCAAAGCCCATGCGATTTTCGCGCGTGCATCGTGGAATAACTTGTTCCTCCCAGCAGAGCAGAAAGCCCGCGCTTTCGAGCTCGACGAATCTATGATGCTTTATTGTCCAACAGAGGAGGATCGGATCCAGGTGCATTGATTGTTATCAGAGAGGATAGCTAGATTTAGCGCATGCACGTACAGAAATGTCAACCCTGCGGTAGACGCATATTAGAGCAGGATCGCTTAGATCTCATAGAGGACTTTATAAGTACTTTTATGACAAACGACCAAGTGGGCGAGGGTGCAGCAGACCGGGCGATATTTATTGGATGGTAAACGTGGAGATCTTTGGTCTCGAAATCATCGTGCATGACAAAGCCATCCCATTGTATCAACTCATAAGACCTCAACATCGTAGAGTTAGATCGGCTTAAATACAGATGGGCATTCCACCACAATGTAGTCTTATCAACAACACCTTGCTAGCGGCATCACCTCCGCTCTGACCATGAGAACAGTCGTCATTCTGGCAACAGAGCCGTAGGTTTTCTCATACTCTATGCCGTATTTCTGTTCAAAACCACGAACGACAACTGTGGTTTTGAAGTCATCCACAAAAACGACTTCGCTTTTGCCGGCAATCTCCTGGCTCGCCTGCCCCACTTTCACGCTGCCAACCGCACTCTACGCTACCTCAATGGCAGGCGAACGTTTGGATTGCATTACCCCACCGCTGGCGGATATGTTTTGTTTTCAACTTGGAAAACGTCTCCTCGGACGAGTTCAGGCGGGCGGACGGTCCAGTCACCGGCTACGTTTTGATCCAATAATCTCCCGGGAGAACATCACAATTGTTGGAGGCAAGTTCAGCATGGACAGAATCATCTCGGCAATAGTTTGCGTAGTGCGTAGTGTCGTATCTAGTACACGCCGTCGCCGCAGACGTCTGCTGTCCTTGTAGCCACCTTTGGTGAGTTGATTGTAGGCAATGGCCGGCATCTTGATTTCTCTAAATATAGTTATCAAACCATTTCCTAGTGTCATCATCACTTGGCTATGTTCGATGATAATTATAATAGATAAATGGTCAAATATTTACTAGTAGGCTGTTATGATTCGGGATCCAAAGTTTTGTCTCGGCTCAAAGTTATGTTCAAGCAAGGATATCAATGTTTTCAGAGCTACATTTACTGACATCCTCGGCATCTTTCAGATGTTGTATCATTGATACCGGACTCTCGACCATTGATCCCATCTGCAGATGGGTGCCATTCTAAGATAAATAGTCGATGCCATCAGTGATCACCCCCATATGGTGCCTCATATCTGGATCAAATTCACCGCTGTTCTAAAGAACAGGTCTGACACCTGATTATCGTGTGACGGGGATTGGCACTGATTTTCCCTCCTCAAGAATAAGAATCGTGATAATCATGAGTTTTAATGCCCATAAGCAGTTTCAGCACCGACCGCAGAGATATGCCATTACCCTTGTCATATTATAATACATTATCGATCTATTTCAACAGTATAGTAACAGTACATCATAACATACTAACTCCGTCGCTGGCCCAAGGACAAATCTCAACTCGCCAATATACGGAAAAAGTACTGGACCTATAATATTCCATGAAAACATCAATTGACGTAAGATACCAAACGAATGATGACAGCTTTACCTCAAGAACGCCATCTTCATCCAAATCTGTGCAATGCACAGCATTATGAATCTGATCCATGCCGAACTTTGCTCGTAGGGAATTTGGTCGAAGCACGCGGCTAAGCTCTGGATCCATGGGCCCGCAAAATTCGCGAAACTCTGATACAATATTTGGCTTGCCTGTTATCTCTCTGTTTTAAAGTCGACGACACCGTGAAGCTCAGTGATAAGAAGCTTGATGGTCAAACAATAGGAATATACGTACAGTGCGATGACGGGACCAGATGTCAGTTGGTCCAACATGTGCTGCCGGTTTCCAGAATATCAGAAAAGCACATTGTTGCTCGTGACGTCTCTCTCGGAACTCACATGGTATTCAGATATTACTCCTTTATACACCTCTAGAAATTCCTCTGCATTCGGCTTGTCCAGCCGGAATAGCTCCATGTCTGTGACGTTGTATCCTGCTTTCGTAATTTCCATTATGATTTGACCCGTGAGCCCTATATTGTAGTCAACATGATAAGGACGGCGCGCTATCCAATGACCGCATAGGTCAACATTAATTGACGAAATACCATCATTAACTGCATGTGGCCGAATAAGTGCCAGAGTACAATCTTGGAATCTGGCTGTTCTCGCGAGCTGAGAATAAGCCGACTCGTTGAAAATGGCGTCGACGGCCTGTTTTACACCGTCCGGTGATGACGGTACATAGACTCCATTTTTATGTCCATTCTCTCCATAAAAGGCTCGAAGTGACGACGGTAGCGATTGTTTAGCGTCTTGTACAAGTTCTGGTCCTGCTTGGGACATGGCCAGTAAGAAACTTGGCTTCCATCCGCGGGCGGATGCCATTGCTAACCTGCCAAATCTCGCAAATCGGAAATTGCGCGAGGCTTCATTAGCTCCACCGCCAATGCACGCCCGCATTCCATTGATGATAGGATATCGCTGAAAGGATGCGCAATCAGCATGGTCCGTGGATGGCACCAAAACTAATGATATAGACATACACACCTGTATCCAGGCTTTCCTGACAGCTCGCCTTTAACCATTTCTTCAACTTGTCGTCGAGTAAGTTGAACCATACGACATCGACAAATTATGAAGTCCTTCTTTAACAGCGTATCCAGTATTTCTCCCACGCGCGATATGGCATGTGGTTTGATAAAGAGCATTGTTCTACCGAGTCATCAAATATGTGCACATAATATTGAATATATGACTACTAGTGCTCGTGTGCATGTATGCGGACGGAAAGTACCTTTCCATCCGCTGCTCCAACTGAGCTCTAGTGAACTCATCCCCGTATCCTCGGACAACCAGCTGCCGGGCATTCACAACGACAACAGCCCCGATGTACAAATTTTGCAATTTAGCGTCAACTCTCGTACGGCTGAGAAATGTACGTCGTTGTTTGACATCGTACTGTGAGACAACAGCGTCAGACCAAGATGACTTCAGGCATCGTCACCAGGATCAAAACACCACCATTTCTGCCGTCTGATCTCCTGGGTAGAAAAACAGCTGGTACGACCGGGTAATATCTGCATGCACATCGTGCCAGTCTACTACAAAGCAGTAGCGGTTATTGCTTTCTTCTGCTGTTGCGGCCATCTTGCTGTTAGAGCAAACGAGGAATTGCATCGGGTCGGAGTCGAGTTTATGGTACCGCGAATTCTTTTTGTCACGTGATTGCATCTTGTAAATTGCTTGCTTTCGAGAGCTTATTGCTCTGCTTTCGGTGGGTTTGGGGTGCGCATGTGGCTATCAATCTCCAGTCGAATTGGTTCAGTTCGCCCAGTCCGTTGTATTATAGTTTCTGCTCTCTGCGGCTTGATACCTCGCGTAGCCAGAATCAGTGCGGCTCGATACAAAATGACCGGAATTCCGTCCATTGTCCACCAGGCACCGAAGCGAACTCTTGAAGACTCTACAAGCGATAACACAAAGCGGATAAAGCTGGACGATAATAGTGGAGAAAGCCCATCGACGGGCATCTCTTTTGCATCTCCGCATATTGGGGACATGGTCGACCTTGTTGCGGCCCGCAAACTTGTCACGGAACAGGACGTCGGCATTACAGCCTTTGTCGATCCATCTATTCCTGGGTTTACGGGTATCTTGAAGACCAGGTAGTTGGATTACGTGTTCTGGTGTAGCGTTTGGCTGGATCTGCGCCTAATCAATTCATTAGATTTACGGATTTTCAGGTAAACGAAGTGACACTCGATGGTCAAATTGTCCATTTGCAATCAACTGACCCACCTCAAGATATAAACAAAGCTGGGGATGAGGTACTGTGTCTTCAGTTGAGCCTCACCGTGGATTTAGCTGACGCTCTGCCTCTAGGCCAAGGAGGAGGTGAAGGACGAGGAGCAAGGTTTTGCTGAGCTTACTGAGCTCATCCAAGACACGGACTTCATCGCTTCCTTCAAAGGCTTAATTGATTCTCTCAAAAACGGTGCGGTCCCTGCTGAGGAATCATCTGTAGCGGTGACGGACGGTAACGAAGACGGGGATGTGAAGAATAATGATGACACCGAACCTACAACAGCAACAAAAAGCACGCCAACGGGTTCGCTGACATGCAACATCAGTGATAAATCTGTTCGACGACAAGTGCACATGATCATCAAGCGGCATTTCGGAGATTTGATAGAAACCCAAGGGGGCGAAAGTAGTATTGTATTTGTGCCGCAAGGAAAGGACTCTGGAAAACGGTCGGACCGTCGTCAGGGCAAAGGTACGGTTCTGGTTTGGTTGGAGTACCTGAATAAGTAGTAAATTGTTTCCAAAAGGTCAGAAGAAGGGCTGGAACAAGCGCGGGCCTACGAAACGAGATTGGGAGGCGCGCGGTGGACAGTATTGTGAGTTTACGCTTTACAAAGAGAATAAGGACACGATTAATGCCATCAACATGATCGCAAAAACGTTAAGGTAAGGTCCGTTATGTGGACTCTGCTGGATGCATTTCTTTAATACTCTACTTCCAGGGTGAACTCAAAAACATTCTCATACGCGGGAACGAAGGATAAGCGTGCAGTTACAACACAGAAGATTACCGCTTGTCGGGTGAATGCCGAACGACTGAGTCATTTGAATAGATGCCTGAGGGGAATGGCATTAGGTGATTTCAGGTCCGTTCTTCCAGGTTCCACGAAAGCCATAAACCTGGATAGTGGGCTTACATCATAGATTTAGATACCGACCGGATCAAATCGTGTTGGGTGATTTGAGCGGAAATCACTTCAAAATTGTGCTCAGGTATATCTGAAAGTTTGATTGCACGTTGTTTGACCCGCGAGAAGCTCATAATGAACATCATCAGAGAAGTTCAGATGGAATCACAGTTGATGTTAGAGAAGGCCATGGAATCCCTCCGTTGTAATGGCTTTATCAACTACTTTGGTATGCAACGATTCGGTACCCGCTCCACACCCACATACGCGGTAGGTATCTCCTGTCTCAAAGGTGATTTCGAGAAAGCAGTGAATGAAGTCATGGACATCAAAGAAGGGGGTGCGTGTTCGCCCGATCATTTTTTCGTAACGACATGTAGCTGAGCACCGCCTATCCATTTGTGCAGAGCGAGAAGAGTTTGTAAAAGCACGGCAACATTGGAAGGAGCATCGGGATCCTGAGGCGGCGCTGGAACTATTCCCGAAGGCTTGTCTAGCGGAACGCTCCATTATCGGCTTCTTCAAGAACACTGGTAGATTAAATGACTATCTCAACGCGTTGGAAGCTGTGAGTAGCGTTCGCCAATTGTGACGCAAGTTCATCTGCTTATAATGATCTTCAGATCCCGCGAAATCTGAGAACTCTTTATCTACATGCGTATCAAAGCTTGGTATGGAACAACATGGCATCTGAAAGGCTACGCATGTACGGTGCAAAACCGGTTCTTGGCGACATTGTTGAGCTATCGGGACAAGATGATAGCGAAGAGTTGGACGACTCGACAGCGGATGGACTCGGTAATGAGGATGCAGTCGCCGCATTGTCAGAATTGGAAGCAAAGAGCAAGAAACGTGATGTCCAAGTGGCTATACTCGAAACGGACGAAGATCTCACAAAGTACACCATGGATGACGTAGTGCTGCCACTCCCTGGACACTCGGTGACATATCCAGCTAACGAGATCAAGGACAAATATGTAAACTTTATGGCACAACATGGACTTGATCCCCATAATATGGTCAGAAAACAGAAGTAAGTTCTACGACGCCCCTGAGAAGTGCCACTCGTTGCACCTTCTGAATGACATGAGACTGATTGTCGCACGTAGGACATTCAGTTTACCAGGATCTTATCGAAAGATCCTCGCGAAGCCGAAGCACTTTGACTGGTATGGCCCACGCAGTAATCCATACTCCTTTGCTACTTCATTTCTCTTGACTGTCACTCGCCAATATGTAGGAAATTGCTCCGATATGATGATCCGGAGATGGACTTGCAGTTGACCGATATGGACCGTGTAGCCGGAAAGCCAGAACCAGAATCTAAGGATGGTAAGGCCACTGACACACTATCTTATGTGGATCTTGTGTTGTAAAATCTGGTTTCATCCACAGATGGGAAGCGAGTGGCGGTCGTGCTTGATTTTACGCTCGCATCTTCACAGTACGCGACCATGGCTCTCCGGGAATGTATGAAAGTTGATACCACCTCAGCACATCATGAGCAGCTGGCGCAGTATTACGGATCGCAGAGAACGCAGACGAAGGAGACGGTCGAGAGCGTTTAATGCCATTGAACAGCGCTAATTGCATTTATCACGTGAATCTCTGTTGACATTGCTATTTATTTGAATATAAGGATAAAGATAATCAGCAATGCCGACTTCGAGCATGGCTATACCGGATGGTAGTGTCGCTCAACAGTCATGACGTCGTCTGCCTACTGCCTGCCGTGCCGCAATTTACTACACCTCAGAACTGGCCCGTGCACTTTTCTGCCAATGCTCTAATTTGTCTATTCCAATTCTCCTTAGCTTCCGATGACTTTCGTCGCCAGTCTGGTACACTTATCGCCTTTCCAAAGAAGGAAACATTTGAGTCGGGGTTACGTTGGTAGACGAGTGCGTAAGGAGATGGAGCGCGGGGAGACAAGGAGGACGGGACAAAAAGTGACTAATTACATGCGAACTGTTTAGCAATTACGGACAACTCAAAATACGAGAGCACGGGCTCTTCGCACCTGGTCTTGAATTTCTACCGGCAGGTTCTCCTCGACTGTCCGCTGCATTTGTCGAAATGAAGTCCGTGCATATCGGGTATCTTCCTCAATACGAGAACTGATGAGGTGGTATAAGGTAGCGCAAGCCAGAAGGCCGGACGTCAACGGCAGAAAGAAAGGCATTGAAACGCAGGATGGAAAGTGCAAAACCAGGAGAGAAACAGCATGCAACCTGCTCATGCCGGCCTACAGAACACCATGGCAACAGCAACGTCACGTGGTTGAACCTCGTAATCTCAACTTCTCTCCGCGATTTTGTGAAGGATGAATGGCACATACACAAGTATCTCGTAGAACTCAAGTAAAAAAACCTCACAGTCCATGTGCTTTCTCTACTAGGCCTTCAGTTCCAGGTTCTGCCGAAACTCAATCGTTGCTGAATAATCCGGTATGGCGCGATCGCTTCAAGCTTCAGTGCATCGCCCGAATAAAAGAATCTCGGGACGCTGAAGTTCGGAGGAGGAGGTTTGCTGGACATAGCGGTCCTTCGGAGAGGAGAGGAGAACCCCAATGGAGGGGTGAAGAGATTGCTCCTGTGGGACAAGTGGTGAGGCCTGCATTGCCCTTGTTTAAGACAAGCTACATGTGCTCAGACATTTCTTCCCAAGTCGACCCGTTCCTTCGCCGAAGGCCATTGTCTGGAATATCATATGGAAGCAAGTATAGAGAGTAGAATTCCATTTGAGCATGAGGAGGGCACAATACGCGAACTGTCAACACCAGCAACCGACGAACCATCCTCCTCTTTATGGAACGATGAACTGGTAGCCGCATATAACAGCTCATTGGTGCATGGGATCAACCCCGATGAAATGATGACGGAATCTGAATTGCCAACCGGGGTGGCCTATGTCACGAGTCAGGCGCAGTGCATTGTGTGTCAGCGAGCTTCGTTGATTTTGGAATCCAATGCGATAACATGTCCTTCGTGTGGTCTGCGGATAGACTGTCGCCCAGACACCGCTTCGATTGATAATTTCATTGCTCACGTTAGACAGCTATGCATCAATCATGAGTAAGAGGGCCGCACCGCTATCGTCTATAATAGTCTTGCTTGCTCACCAAGTAACGTATATATTATCCAGGCAGACATGCGCTGGTCATCCACTATTCACCTATGATACTGAAACCGGACTTCTCATTCTTTGTAGTATTTGTGATGCATATGAAACTGTCGGTTGATGGAAGTGATTGATTAGAATTTATGTATATAGTGCATGAGTAAAATAGATAGCCCGTAGATGCTGGCACACATTAAATATAGGAGATGCAGGAATGCCGCAGACGTTACATTCAGTCAGGCTGATATGGTGGGAGCATCGTTCTCTTGTTCATCAAAAAACGTTGGAATAATCTGATCGCGAATGACGTAATCGTCAGCGTAAGCCCTTCTGACGATATCAGATGCAGCACCAATCATGAAAACGATACTGCCAACACCCAGCTAACGACACACCGATTCACAAAGGGTCTTGATCTAGTACGTTGTGATTCCGTAAACGGAGGAGAAAGGAAATGTGAGTTCATTAGCCGTCGGCAACAATTTAGAACCTCTTTGATGGAAATGGCTACTGAGCAGATTCCATCGATTCTGCTGGTGTTTCTTACGTAGCCACATGGCTCATATCCTGCCCTCCACATTGTCCTTGTTCTGAATGAGCATCGATTATCTTTGAACTCTCTGCAGTTCTAGGTATAACCTTTCATGTCTTCCTGCCCGACTTTCACCGATGGACCTGTCCTCTCACTTTCCGATATTTGGCGGTCGTGTGGGGTCTTACATCCAGTTGTTGTGGGAACTTTTGGATTCTTTGTATGTGGCTCTTTGTTCTTGTATGCATCATCATGTGGATGCCTCTGATTGCGTCAAACACACACCTACACACACAGTTCCTTTGGGGGACATTCAGACTGTCTGGACCCCGAACGCTCGCGAAAGTGACAGTCACAGATTTCCTTGCGTCGATCACAATCGGGTCGACATTGAGTCGCATGTTGACTCAACCGGATGTTAATTTAGTTAGAGTGAGTGCCGTTGTGAGATACATGTGCTACACCCAATTTGTGTCCCTTACGACGATGAAGGGCACCATTTCTCTCACAGTCATCCTCGTGCTGGAATTCTCCTTTACGTTTCTGGCTGTTCGGCTACCTCAATTTACGCGTATTCTACGCAATCCTGTGCGTCTCCTGGTCTACAATGGATCGTTCATAATGCCTTCGATTCACGCCAATCGGTTATCTCCTGATGACATCTATGGCGCCCTTCGTCAGAAGGGTTATGCAACCGTTTCACATATTGAGGCAGTGTTTCTCGAACCCAGCGGAGAATTTAGTATTATCTCGATGCAAAGTCTGCGGCAGGGAGGCAGATATGAAGCCTTGATGGCTGTTCCCGAGTACCGAAGGGTGAGGGAGGCTGATAGTGATAGGGATCAGCTAAATACTGAAACAGACAAGAGTGAGGAGCTTGCTGGGCCCGACGTTGAATCAGCGCAGACCTACCGAAACTTATCGGAGCCTATTGATACCTATTTCAGTTGGAAAAGTTCGCAGAGGAACAAAAAGAATCATGTGGGTAGTAGACGCGAGGATCTCCAAAGGGTAGGAGCTGAGTAGAGTGGAATGGGAGTTTTGTGTATATGTAACATGAGGCGTCAGCAGAAAGACTTGCCTTTCGCTCATGCTATTAACTCATCAATCTGTTCATAAAATCCGTCGTTGGAATTACGCTTTAAGTACAGATCGGAGTAGCCGCGTGCAGTAAGCTCGAGCGCTACTCCGCACCTTAACGAACGTTCATGAATACAGACACACCTTCAACACAAATCGCCAGTTAATTTAAGCTGATCGACAGATCAACCTTGACAGGGTAACATAGGGGAGACCACAGCCCATGGATAAATGGCCTTCTCTCTCATTCCACACTAGCGACCAAGAGGCGATGACATCTACCACTGCACTCAGAGGAAAGCAGCGGTAGCAAGGACCTGGAGATCTTTGTGTAAGATGCAGCCAGGACGGAAACGTTAAGGTTTCGCTAGGTGTTGATCAGTAATCGGGCAAATGTAATATAATACACTCATAATTCATCAATCTATTGCAGAAAACGAGTACAAACACGGTCTTCATGAAAACTACAATGGAATCATTAGCCAGGGTATGCGCAATCGTCACAACTTTGGTTATTAGTTGAGGCTTTACCTGTTGCAGATACTGGAGAAATTTGATATTGATTTGAAGGTTAGTATGACCTGCATTAAGAGGTAAACCCAGCCTCTCCAGCCCGAAATGCTTACCGATTCCGCTACGATACGAGCTCGTGCATTCAAGCTCAGCTTCATTTCACTAATCTCCTTATCAACTTCCTCCATGAACTGGATAATAAAATCTACTAGCTTGTGCTTATACATCGTTTCTGTATGGTGGTTTGTCACCAAAAAGCTAATATCATACCCCTATTCATTGCGTGTATTGAGATCCTGCACTATTCACTAGGTCCCATCATATGAGAACGTACCTCCACAGGTTTCCTCCTCAAGATAAAGAAGCTCTCCGCCCGCAGCATCAAAAACCGGGTAAACTTGTGGCACAATATTCGCTCAATTTCATCGGCTTGTTTGACCTTGATGCTAATTCGGAGGGAATTGATCGATCCTTCGATGAGAACTTTTTCGTTTTCGTTACGGCTAATGACGACCGGGGTTAAGAGAACTTCTGAGGATACTCTACAGATGGTGACAGACGACGGTTGGCGCTACATGCAAGAAACAACGGACCTTGGCGGCCTGTGAAAGAACTGGCAGTTTAAACAGGCACTCACCTTGCTTCGACCTCAGGCTTATTGTGCCTCTCGACTACTTGTGATGAGAAGTTCTCCAGACACATTGCTGCGGTCACTGTTGACCGTACTGCCGAAAGGTACGGGCGAAGAGTGTTTGACTAGATTATAAAGACAACTGTGCGTCAGTCCTGTCACAAAGTGCAATCGCCCGGGAAACGTCCTGTTATTAAAAACTACATTGCGCTTGCTCTTCACCAACAACCGCAAGCGCGTCCGTGTAGATAGCATAATGATACTCACCATTGTCACTAGGGTAAATGTGCGGTGTTGCTCGATTGGAAACGGAAGACGCCAAGTGCAATCTCGAGAGTTACGCGGTTCCGAAGCACATTACGCCCAAACTCTAGGAGTCACGTGATTACCTTTGCCTTTGGGCCTTCCTAGTAGATTCAGTTCAATTCACGCTCCCAAGCAAGGGGTGCGAAAGAACGGCGTACTGATAGTAAGAGGTCTTGCTATCTACTGCTGCTGCAAGGAAATGTATCAAGAAAAGGTCTGCCACCATGTACAGTAACAGGGAGTGTCGGGAACTACAGAAAACGTATCTAAAAATGAAAGATCCGCCCCTCGAAGTCTTCCCTTAGCCTATCGCCAGAAAATAGAAGAACAATGTGCAAAATCCAATAGAGCTGCTTCTCAGGCCCATTTGGTGCCGTTGTCACTGACGCTGCTGCTCAGCGTCCTTTATCTCTCCTTCACGCTTTGTTGCATTTTGAACCTCATAACCGGACATCCCAGCGTCTCCAGCTTCCTCAGCTGAAGGTGAAGGTCCAATTCTCTCCTCATGCTTTTGAAGTTCTGCAGAAAGCCGAAATATAGTCGCTTGCATATCCTCATTTTCCCTATCCAAATTTACGGCAATTCGATCCGCCTCTACCAGAACGCCCAACGTTAGATATGTGAAGAGTGCGTGATCTCGAAATGTCATTTTACCTTCAAGTTTTCGCTCTAACTTTGCCACCATTGCCTTTTGAATTCCCAATGCAGTTTGGAGCTGCTCTACACGTCCTTGACACAGCTGCTTACCAAGTTCTTCGTTCTCTGTTTGGAGTGCCTTCAATTTCGCCACTAGCTTTTTCCCAGTGATGCTTCCGAAACAATCACGTCTTTGCAAGATGATAACAAAATGGGCTTTGCTCGAATCTCAAATTTACCTATAGGGTGTGAATCCTGTTCCAAGAACTTCCCGTTGAAGATTTTCAATTTTCTTGTTTTTCTCCTCCAACTCCTTTCTCATGGCTTTATACACAAGCACCCACGTCGGATCTAATAGTTTCCGCCTCATAGCCTGGATCTCGGGTATCGATTGCTTCGTCAGCTCGTCAACCTCACCCTACGCAGGCAAGTACTGCTATAATATACTCGAAAGATGGCGTACGATGATCAACAGACGCTTACCGACAAATTGGTTAGATCCTGTTGCTTCTTATTCAATGCGAGCAGCAATGCACTCTCTGCCTCATCTTTCTTCGTTATCTCTTCCTGATACTTTGCCAGCATTTGTCGCAGAAGCTTGTTTTCCGTTTGAAGCTCTTCCAGCGAAGGATTCGGTGCGCGTGAGAACGTGCAAGGATCAGAGGTCTGCTTTTCATTGACGTTTACGTTGCTACTCGACGCTGCTGTCTCCCACACGGGTGTCAGCGGGACCGGACATTGCTTAAGCAAACAGAGGTAAATCTTTTTTATCAGACACGATTAGGAAGAACTACATGCCTTTTTGAGCTGCGGTTCAGTGAAGGTATATGGAGGCTCGGGTGGCCCACGCTTCAGGGGAACGCTGACTGCCATATTGTTATCTCTTGTCAAAAACCACAAAAATGCAGAAAAGGTTGCATTTCTGACGTACTGTTCTGCCCGCTAATGCTCATACTCTACGAACGGCGTTCCTTAGAGTAGCGGAAACGTTGGTCTTACTGACAGCTTTGAACGATTTGCTGGACGTAATCATTGATCTGGCACACGTAATCAGCGGATGGCGCAGCGGTCACAGGAACTTCTCGCACTGAATGACATGCTCTACATTTCGGATATTTTCATACAGATTTGATATGGGATTCTCTCAAACGGATTGGGGTGGATTGAGACGTTGGACACACAACCTATCGGATATCAGCATACACCGCCCATGAATTATTGTATTGTATACCAAAAATTATTTATATCGAAAAACCGTTTCTGTAGCTGTCACCCACTTCTTGCAATCCGTCGCGCTAGATAGGTTTTTGCATCAATTGTTTCTGGGGTGTACGGGCCATTGAAAACACACAGCACACGCATTCGCTCGTGATAGTCAAGATCCGGAAGCAATTTAGGCGTAATCAGGAAGTATCTAACATAGGGAAATATCAGAATCAGTCACGTCAAAAACTGCGTTCGCTGACACGATTGTAGGCTTACTGGCTGGTTCCCTCTTGGCATGCGGCGCGAACCATCTCTCCATGCACCATTCGTTCGTTACGGGGATCCATCCCCTGATTTATTTCATCAACCACTCGGAATGGTGTGTGCGAAAGCTCTTGGAGTGCCATCAGGTAAAGAATGGTGGAGACAGACCGCTCCTGCATTGAGGTGCGATTAATCTCTGCGGAGGTAAACAAAGCACGCAGCAGCCACTTACTCCGCCTGATTGTCTCTGACCGGTTAGCAGATTGAGTTTCTCATTGTCCCTGCATTGCTAAGTATGAACAAGAGAGCTTCATGGATCTGAAGATTATAGAATACCTGAACTTGACTAATATATCGATGCCCCATTTGTCATAATCTTCATGTTGACCTAATTTATGGAAGCGTTTAGGACGCTATGATACCGAACATGACAAACGAGGCATCACTCACTCAATTTCACTTCCCCCGCGCATCCAATCTCTAAATGAGTTTTGAACTGGGTTAAAGAATAAGTATTATCGACCCGTGCGACTCACTGACACGTACTGTCGAAAGCCCTGGCGAAATTTCGGCTGATTCGTCCAACCAGCTCTGATAGATCAGCGACCCATTTGTCCTTTTTCAAGTATCTTGTCAGTAACGAAGCCATTAATCATTTTTGATGATTCTCGCAAAGACCTTGATTCGTTGAATTCTGCCTTGCCAGTCACTTAGTTTGCCTTCATGTGTCGCCAACTTGTTCCGTACTCGCTCAATCTAACGGGTGGCGGCTCTAGTGTCTACTCATCGAAATGGAATACGACAAGCCGTCATACCTCTGCATCGCGCCTTTCGTACTCGTCGATAACGCCTGCATCGGTTTGATTGATCATTTCTGCTCGAGCTTGCTGTTCCATGAGCAGTCCTTCCAAATCCTCAAGGGACTTGTCCGTATACTAAGTCAAATCAGTTAACAATCATCGGTGAGGTAGTCGTGGCAGAGATGTACCATAGCTTGGAAGTCCGCCTTCTCCTCGTCAGTCACATCTTCAATCGCAGCCTTCGCTTTTTCTAGGAGCCTCTTCGCCGTGTCTTTGAGGACGAGGAAAGTTTCTTGCGCTACAATCGAAATGAGCCCGAATCCCGTCTGCAGAACATTAGATACATACACCGTTCACCTACCAATTTGAAGCTCAGCTTTGGCTGCAGCAAGCTCATTATCGCTGTCACGCATTAGATTCTCTCGCTCGTTTATCTTCGCTTGTAGCTCTATTTGGCGCACCATGGCGAGTGTTCTTTGATAAAAGATATCCACAGCTTGTCGTTTGATTTTCTTTCAAAAAAATGACCCATCGCCGATTAGCTACCAAGAGCCATATTGAATCAAGGCACAATTACCTGAAAATCCAGCGCCAATTTCGCTCTTTTGACGTTTACCGCCCGCAATTTTGTTTTTATCTCTAAATCTTCCATCTCAGTGGATGTTTCTTCTTTTTCAAAATTAGACAATTGCATTTGCTTAATGCCTAGAAGCATGAGGAATCTGGATGAACATATGATATTCGTTGCTAAATAATCTGCTGCCCCTCTTACCTATGTCCCGCTTCAATTTATCATACTTCATCTTCTGGTGCTGGATGGCTCTTTTTCGCTCCGTAAGCTCGCCCTGACAGGCGCCGAGACGACATTACTCCAAAATATCAACATTCGGGTTCAATATTAATCTGTACCTTCTCCTGTCGAACGTGTTGATCTTTTGTTCGGAGTTTTCCCTCCTCGATACCCATGGTTTTTAAACGTTGAGCACACGCCTCAATGTTCGTATGTAATTGTTCCAGCCCTTCTTCAAGCTGCTGCTTTCTCTCCATATCAACTAATCAAGAACTCAGTTACTCAGGATCCGCATATGAAACATATCTGAAGTGCTAATGACACACCTGACCGAGTCAGGTATCTGGAACCTTTCATCCGTGTTGCTTTGATCGAAACGCTGCCATATGCTCGTCGAATCATGTAATAAATATTCTTGGAAATGTATGCATGCATTCGCCTCTCTCGCTCGATCTCCGCATTGTTGCGCAACTCCGATAGGGTCACTGGCTGAAAGAGAAACGCCAGCGAGATGTTGACACTCGGATTTATATCCCCTTCTGCGACAAAATACACTTACAATCGCGTGAATTTTACTCAATTGACAAAGAGCGGAAAGAACTTGCGGTGGCCCATCAAGATAATCCAACAGATATCCATCAAAGCCCAAACTTTGTATCTGCGACAAGTAAATATTAAGATCGTGAACAAGCCAAATATATATATATTTGTCGACTTACCTCTTCTTTAGGCACCTCTGGCTTCCATGATTCCAATGTTCTATGTGAGAACATGACAGCATTGATACGTAATTTACGTTTGGTGATCAGTTCCTCCGTCAAGAGAATGTAATCTTCCCTCGTCTGGGTGACAAACGTCTACAACAAAACGTCAGGCGAGGCGCTACACTAGGCGGATATTGAATGCACGTTACCGTCATGGTTGATCGTTGGATAGCGGCTTCCAAGGCTTGTGCATATCTTGGGTCTTTCGCGCTAATCTCCAAGCAGATCGGCTCATAAACTTTCTCTTGGAAAAGGTGCATATTGTCTTTCAACCAAGTTGTGGCTTCATAACAATGGCGCTCATCGCGTTTTAGAATCTCAAGCTTTTGATTTCTGACATCATCAAGCCCTTGGAGCTCCTTATATGTGCGCTCTCTCTCCTGCCGATAGCGTGCTGCTTCTTCAGAGACATCTCTTTGCTCCTGCAAAATGCGATTCACACGTTCTGCGATATCGCGGAGGCTCCCGTTTTTGATATCGATTTCTCGCTGAAGTTGAGCGAGCTCGCCACGCGGCTCTTGGCTTCCGCCTTCTTCCTCAAGCAAACCCAGATTTATCAGCTCCTGTTCCATTTTCTGCAGCGCGGACTGCCCATTCGCAATATCCGTACGCAGAGTTTGAAGCTTTTTTATCTTTTCCTTTTCTCGTCTCTGGATTCCGGCCAATGCCCGATGCAAGTCATCGCATTCACCTTCCGCGGCTTGTAGCTTATCAGATTTTCCTTTGAGGCCCTGATTTGAGACTGTCTTCTCCTGGTATTCACCAGTCAGTGTTCTGACGTCCGCATTCAATTGTTGCAATGTGTCTTGCATACGCTCCAGTTCCTGCTTTATTGGCGCAAACCGTTGCTGGAATGCCTCATATCTTCGCTGCTTTTGTTGTCTATCTTCCTTCGCATCCAAATAGTTCAGACGCGCTTGCTCGTACTGGCACCATGGAATCTTCATTTCAAGGATTCGGATATTTTTGAGCACAGTCTCCCGCTCACGGAAACGCGCAACATCGCGCTCAAGAACCGCATTACGTTGTTCGAGGTTTTCGAGATGCTTTCTTTCTTCCGCTAAGGACTGAAGAAGAGGTTGACTGAGAACCACCGGATGACAGACTTTGAATACGTCCCACGTACTGTATTAAGTTTCTTCTCCTCGTCTCGAAACTCAATTAGCTGAGAATGCCACTCAGCCAGACGAGAATCGCCAGCTGCTCTTTCTGTCTCTCGCAGCAGCTCCGGCGGATCCATCTGTTGGGAATATGTAACTTTGAGCTTGATGTATAGCAGTTCAAGTTTCTGCAGCAGTTACCTGTGCGAATTCAGATACTTTTTCTTGGGGCAGAAAAGAGCTAGATGTAATAGGTCAGTAATTTTTATTTTGGAAATGGTTGAATCATACGATCTTACCAGAGATTATCAACCTGAACACTCAGAGATTGCATCTTTTCTCTCACAGTCTTTTCACTTGAATGCTCCCCTGCAAGTTACTGTTAATGAAATAATCAAACCATATCATTTTTTCATGTCAGCTTTTACCATTGATCTTCCACGTACTACTGTTGCCTTTACCCCGTTTGAATAGTCGCTTCACAACAACATTTCCACCTCGTCCACGGCTCTTCAACTCAATCTCGATGGTTGCCTTTTCCTTTCCATCCTTGACGAAGTCTTGCAGCGATTTTTGCCTCCCTAAGGCCTGTCGGGCGACAACGACTTTAGACCGCAATGACGTCAAGAACAATGAGCATGGTACGGTTGACTCACGTCAGGGCGCCCAGCCAATCCGAGTGCAATCGCGCATACAAGGGAACTCTTTCCTGTTCCGTTGGGCCCAATAATCATGTTGAGGTTTGGACCAGGATAGAATTCAACCGAATCATATGTAATGAAATTCTTCAGGCGGATTCGAACAATTGAACCGTCGGGGTACCTGGAACAGAGCTAAGTTATGCAACCCGCTTGAGTAGTCCCACCAAGCGTGGAGCAAAACAAAAACCTTCTCTCATCCTCGGACTCTCGCAGACTGGCCTTTCCGTTCGCTGCCTTTTGTCGTTTGCGCAACGGGCCATCATCCCGTTCCTCCTCCCCATCTGACAATGAACCACCTCGATAAGGCTCTTGCGCACTAGTGCCCTCTTCGTCAGATTCCTCTACAGCTGCAGACGCGGGTTGCTGGCCGTCCGCATGGTTCTGCAACCCGCGGCGGCTGGAGCGGCGTCGGATGGCACTCATGCACTACCCTTTCCCAAACTATATCTATACCAAATCCTGCTAATCTTCACCCTTGTCCGCTCTCTCTGGGGGTGGGCTTGGTTTGCTTTGAATTGCCAGAATATGGAAGAGTTCCTGTCAACGACAAGGTCAGAATGTCTAGTTTTTAATTAAAACAAAAATGGATAAATGAAGAGAACGCGTACGGACAAAGTATGTGATAAGCGGCTGTCATCAGTAGCCTCGATCGTAGAGCTTGGCAGTCTAAACAATTGCCAGCCAAGCCATTCATGATTTCGGAGGAACGGCTTATGCTCACGGATCCTGAGCTGCTGCCGGACGCACGCAGTGTTCCTATTCACAGTAAGCCTAAAGGTAGGTGGCCTGGCACATATCTGTCGTACTTTTCGAGAGTGCAAAAGGGGAGGTAATAACAGCATCGAACAAGAACCACGACCGACTTCTGCCCGCAGTGAAGCTGGTAGTACAAGAAGAGCGGACATAGGCAGGGACTTGCAGAGGAACGTAACTGTCGAGGCTTCGCAGACTGATAAGAAGGCTGGCCAGTGCGCGTTCAGGAACATGGCTGGCTCGGATATTGTTATACACGTTTATGATGAAAACAGAAATGGTATTGCTCCAATACAGTTGATACATTTTTTCGAATCTGTGAAAGCACCCTTTTAAAAGCTCATGCAATGACTAGCTAAAAGGGACTTTTTCTGCAAACGATCCCTGCTGATCGGGCAGATGAGCTACTTCTCCAGTTATCTGTATGACCGCACGGCGGAGGAGAATGTGGAAATCGATGTGCACTGCGATGTGGAAGTGTTTGAATGGCTCATGGCCTACATAACGCGACGAAAGCCGGCATTTGGTGATTAAAGCTCGGTTGGTGAGATTGCCACCTTCTTCCCGCGTTAATCTTTATTAAACGTAAGATAGAGGCGCGGACGGCAATCAGTATCCTTATTAGTTCAAACTTCCTACAGATGTCAGCATTGGAGGACCAGTGCCTGAAATATGTTCATGATCACATAAACGAGATACTAAAAGGTACCTCAATTAGTTTTTGCGTCAAAGTTTGCGGCTCTCATTTCTTTTTCTAGTTCCCATTGACATGGGCTGCTTGAGCAATATCCTCCTGCGCAAGTAAGCTAAATCATGTCAGTTCTTCCACCGGATTGTATTAAATCAGTATCGCGTAGGCTTGCAAGTTTATTCAGCGTCGATGAGCTGTCAACGATCACTGACCCGCGCGATAAAATCTTGAGGTACAAGCGATGCAAATTATGGAGCAGACGGCCGAGAGGTATATTTAACATCATCCTCCAACAGTCAATTGTACTTTACAAAGCTCAGCGAGATGTTGTCATCGGCAACTGGCAATGTTATTCGACGCTGCATACAGTGTGGGAAACCCTACGCACGCAAACAAGAAGCGAACCTCCGCTGCAGGCGAGCAAGTCTCACATTGGACACGCACGGTCGTTTGCACTCTCTACATGAGAGGTTAGCTATTCGTGAAGCGCAACAAAATTCTGATTGAGAACGCTGATAGAATTGTGAAATGGCGCAGAGATCCCCAATTTGACATCAATGAATACATCGCAGGACTCCATGCAGGTGGCCTATCATGGAAGGAAGTGTATTGGAGGTGAGTAGCATGTTGACGAACTCGGTCTTTAGACTGTGGCGTGACCGCTCATCACATTGTTCATCCAGAATTTGGGGAACCCTCAATCATCAGCATTGCACAACCTGCGATGAAATATTTGCTTGCGTAGACTATACTACATGTGCGAGACACACAAGCATAGTTAGCTTTCCACCAGGCGAAGCACTGAAAGGATATTATCCATGTTGTGGAGCGCAGGAGTTGAAATTCAACCCATTTCAGCTACCCAAGGTAGCCTAGCCGGATGGAGACCACCTTTGGTTCACTCTCATATCTCGTTCGCTATTGTTCAGGGATGTCGTCAGTTCACCCACACCCCGAGTTCAATGAGCCATGAGATAAACGGAATATTCCGTTCTCACATGGCGTATATCATTCGCCCCCCAGGCCCAACGGCTGAGAACGATCCGCCATCGCAATGCGTAGCCGCTGCTGTCGAAAATGATTCAATAGCTGGAAGTGAAAAGAGGGTTTCCTCCATGGTCAATACCTTTGTAGATGTTTTCAGTGTGTGGAAGCCACCAGTAGGTTCCTTAGCATAACTTTGTTGTGAGTGACAGGTGAATTTATCAATTACAGGTGCAGGTGTGGGACTTTAAACGCTTCAACTCGAAGGAACAACTCCTTACCGCGAATCCAAACGCTTCCAACTTATCTTCTTCCGGTACTGTACATGGCTCGGATTCGCGGATTTTTGCGGTTCCTCTTGTAAATAGGAAATCACAGCACGCGCAAAGGACAGAAGGTAGGGATCTTGGGGTGTAAACGTCACGGTGCGAGACGCTGAGAACTTGTCTCTGTAGACACAGCCAGGCTGTATGCGATGATCAAACAAGGAAGATTGACCTGTAGGAAGAATCTTGGATGATACCCAGTGTAAAATAGTATAAATATGAATAGAATATATTCAAATGATCATCCAAAGAATGAAAAAATCTACAAAGACACAATCCAAGGGACTATGCAGACCAAAACGAAATTACAATCCAGTTACAGTATATGGTGTTTTGGGCTTTTTGGTAGCCGATGATTCAGAATCCACGTCCGCTAGACGCTTTCGTGTCACTGCCCAGGGTGCAAGACTAGTTCTGTCTACAACAGTTGTCGGCGAATCGGGATTGACATATGCTTCCTGGGCATTTCTTTTGCTGCTCGAGATTGGTATGGTGACCCATGGCTGATCGTCTGGCTCGCTACTTATAGGTTCGAAGCCAACCGCAGTGCAGAGATCATTGGTCCGAATGACTTCCAATGCCGTGGATCTCAATCCCGTTACATTATCCGAAGACAACGGTGTTACCCGTGCTTCAGTTGGCGCTTGGCCACCCGTACAGACGTTTTCGTGAATGGTAGGATCAATGGAAAGTCTGCTTGCAGGTTCGCTAATGCAGTCCCCCAGAGGTTTGATGGCTGCTTCGGAGAGATTTTCTGAAGCAGATGCTGGCGCTGGTGTCCGTACAAGCATTCCCTCTGGTGCGGAAGCACCTACACTCTCTGTGGATGATGGCAAACCTTGAACCCAGCGACCTACAACTTTGGTAGGTGTTTCCACAGCCGAGCACAGTCGCTGGTGTCGTGCGAGCGGGGTGACATTCATTGCAGGCAGCATGCTTCTTCTTAAAGAGGGACCTGTAGTGCCATCGCTTGAAATTGACCACTGACGGCTACCTCCCCGCGGCGTACCACCAGAACAAGCTGTGGGTGAATGTATACTCGTTCCACCTGATAATCCCGACCAGCGTTTCTTTGGTGAAAGATCCTCCGCATTCAATACCTGTAAGGTGACATTAGCCAGGATTACGACGAATGGCAAAAGACCGTGAAACGGTGCTTATTGGAAACATACAGTTTTCAAGAAGTCGCTATGGCTTCGAGGCCAGTATTTTGAATTAGCTCTCGGGGTGCTGCTGCCAACAGTCAGCACCTCGTCCTCGTCATCCTCATTTTCCACTTTTTCCGCGTCGACACCCCCGGGATCATTGTCCACCTTTTTCGAGGACTCGATGTCTCGGTACTTGGCAAGGTCGCTGCTCTGCTGTCGAAGAGGACTCATGCCAATTGCAGATGACCCGTCATCCATCAGCCTGCTTCTTTTGGCGATGCCTTCCATGATCGACGCGCCTCGTTTAAAGGATGATCGCTCGGAGAACGGGGTCGTAGGGTCGTTTATATTCGCAATGGTAGGTAGAGAGCTTGTGGTGTTCAGGTCGTACATAAGGTGAAGATGTCTGCCATGAATGGGTGTCGTAGCGCTGGGCACGTTAAAGGCGGCTGATAATGTGGATGGCTGGGGGGTCGTGAATACACGCACATGGTCCGTATACGCATTTGAAGATTCTACTTTCTCGTGTGTAACATCTTCTGTTGAATGAGCTGCAATTTGTGTACTGGTATCATCCGGATAGCGAGCAGGTGGGCCAGGTGTTCCTTCCGCGGTAGGATGCTTGTGTAGCACGTTGGTAGTTGGCAGTGTTGGTGTTTGGCTTTCTACGAGCACAGGCGCCTCGGAGAATGTCTTGTTGTTTTCAGTAGGACCATTGCTTTCAAGACCGCTTCCGTCGGTTGTGTGCGCAACGACACCAGATTTGCCAGCGTAGGCTGGTGCAGCGAGGGCGCCTTTCGTGGAGGGTAGCTCGGCTGTGGTCATTGTGGGTATATGTAATTGAATGACTTTTACGTTTTGAAATACTCGCGTTACCTTGTGATGCTGAAATAGTCATTTCTGCGTTCGGCTCTTGAGCTCCATCTGCAGGCTGACTTTCTAGGACAAGGAAAGGGTTGTCTCGGTCAGTACGACTGGGCTTGCAGAACCCACTTAGACTTTGTCGTCTGATGACATTAAGGTTAGCATCAGTGTCATCACGGACTTTGCGCATTGTTGCTGAGGGGCGTTGCTCCAATATTACGGTATCTAGGACATTTGTAACGTCACCCTCTTCTTTGGATGTGGCCAAGGGAAGCATTTGCTTCGTTTGACGGGGCGATTTTGGAGGGCGCTGAAGACTTGCAATCAGATTGTCAAGTTCCTGGAAGTTTGCTTGACGCAGCCAACTCTTGTGTATCTTGGATTCAATGTGCTGGACAACAATAATGCCGCCGCGCAAGTTCAGCCATTACAATAGCTGAATCATTTCACAATTGGGACACTCACCTCCGCAAAAACATCATATTTTATGTTGCAGTTTTCGCAGTAGCCCGGGCGGTTGTAAAACGCCTTTCCAGCAATGCGATGGTCCCTACGCAGCGTTTCCTGGGGTCGCTTCCGATCCCTACGCTTCTGAATGTGCGGTTTGTTTCGGGGATGGACGACAAGCTCACGTTGTCCAAGTTGAGTCATCTTGGCATCCTTTAAAGGTTCTCTCTTTGGCAAGACTGCCGTGGATCCGGATATGAGCCCTGAGGCCGCTGAAGCGACAACGCCATGAAGGCGATGTAGCGCGACCTGCCTTTGTAAGTCATTCTCCTCAGTATCACTGGAATGCGCATCGCTTTCGTCGACTAGTCGTAAGGCCATTGGGCCGGCATTCGTCACCTCGTCTTGTCCATCCCTGTCGCTAACGCTAGTTGAACTGTCGTCACTTGCAGAGCTTGGATATCTGACGAAGGCGCACCGACCCTGACGATCTTTGAAGAAGATTATCGGCCATGGGGGATTCTTCGGATCTTTCGCTTCTTTATACTCTTTCATGAGAATAGGCTTATGCAGTTCCAAAGCGTCTTCTACAAGTACGAATCTACTTTTAAATGCTCGGAATGCAGCTTTCTCCTGCTCCGGATCCCTGTTGGTCGAGAGACCGTACAGCTTTTCATCACGGAGATGATCCTGCAATCTACGTGGCACTGTAACTCCGTTGAGGGCCTTAAAAATGCGTACGAGTCCTGAACGACCGGATATACATTAGTAAGTTCAATCACATTTGCAACCCACATTGAAAGTCGCGGCTCTTACTGTCTAGGGACCACACGACAGCGCCAAACTTGCGTGCGATGGATATATTATCTTCATTCTGCTTGCCTCTCGACGCAGAGAAATTGGGAGCCTATCAGACACACGAATGATCAATAAGTTTGCCAATTCGGGAACGGGAACCAAACATTGAATGTACTTGAAAGGCACTAACCCTTCTTCCAGATCTTCAGTTTGCAGAGTGAGATTGTAAGGAAGCAAAGTTAGCGTAAAAAAGCGACAGGAGACAAGGGGGTTGCATACACGTACGGGCTGCCAAGTTTGCCTGGAGACAATCCGCGGTTGGGTGTTGTTTCCTTGGCCCGCACAACACTACCCGTGGTGGCAGAGCTTCTGGATGGCGTTTTTGAGCCATCTCTTTCCAGTGGAATGGGTTTATTAGTGACGAGATGAGTGATGCTTTTATTCATAAAAAGCTCGACCGTCTGGTACATTCAAAGCTGGTGAGATCATTTGAGCTTCGGACACGAAAATGAGAGGTGATCCTTACGCCTCCCAGTTCTTTTATTTGGCGACTAAGATCAGCTGCCACTTTATTATCAAAGCAGTCAAAAAAGAATCTGTAGTTCTTGATTTTGCCTTTGAACTGCGCGAGCGCGACAGCCTTGTCGGCTACGGACTGCGTCGCTGGAGCAGAAGTCCCCTTTGACTTTCCTGGAGTTCTCTTCACAGAAGGGGTACGTGGTGTGGCAAAGACAGTAGTGGAACGCGCCCTGCTTGCGTCGGAAGTGGCAGATTCAGGCTTTTTGGTTTGGGATGGGGTGGCAGGTGTGTGTTTTTCGATCTTCCTTGCGGCTTGGCCGGCGACAGGAGTGTCGCTCGGCCCTTTCGCGCTTGACGGCCATAGCGAATTGGGCTTTGTGGGCCATGGGGGCGTATTCTTACGATAGTCGACAGAGCGTAACGGTGTATTGCGCGCGCTCAAGGGCGGCTTCGCCGCGCTGGTGGGCACTACGGTAGAAGAGCTGCCTCGCGCAGAAATAGAGCTTGCAAAGCCATGAGGGCGGGTAAATTGAAATATTGGCTGCTTGACCTCAGGCGTGTGAGCCATTGACAGGTCGCTTCCCATATTCATTCCATTCCACAGACTTCCCAACGGTGCAGGCGTGTCCACCGTCGTGCGGACCTCCGCAAGCTTCTTACGCGTTGAGCCTGGTTGCACATTTTCACTCTGGTCGACCATGACCGTTGGCCCCTAACCGCGTTTGTTTCCGGCTCGTTCACTGCTACCGAGAAACAAACGAGTAAGTTCTCCGAAATGATGCAACCGGTGATTTTCTGCGGTTTGGCAAACGCACCGGATACTCTCCCACCTGAAGCAAGGGGTCAAGCATCCAAAATAACAAGTACTGCTAACATGTGGACTGCGTTGGCGCCTTCGCTAACGTTTGAATACGCAAGAAAGATAGCAGGCTCGCACTCGGGGCGGTCGCCTTCAAAAGCAGTTTGATCACCCTGACGTAAGCCCAGCCGTGAGGGACCTCTCTTTTTCCAGGGGGACAAACACGTAGGAATGGCACACTCAGTCGGCGCTATTCTGGAACCACAAATATGCCTATAATACGGTCTGCGAAGGCGAACGGAAATGTAGATGGTGCTCAAAAAGGCGGTCTCGTTAAGGGCGACCTACTCATCCTGTCCGGACGTCATTTGGACCAAAATGGTTACATTTGCAATTACCGCGTTGTTCAATTTATCACCTTTTGAATGCCTTCTTGACGTTGTCAACAGTTGAGAGATGATGCTGTAATAAAACGATATCAAATGGCTTCCGACGAAATCTCGGGAGCTCCCAAAGTCACCACCGACCATGAGAACGGCACCTCTCCGTCAAGCGGCGAGAAGAGAAAAAGACAAACAAGTTGGGATAATGAACCTGGCACCGACTCACAGCCGTCCCCAAAAAATGCACGCACAGGTATGCCAATCAATATCTTTCCCCGTCGATCCGTCATGTACTCTCTGACTTCTGGTGCGTGGTCGACAGATGGTGCGACCTTCTCTGAACCCACTACACCAGCCGCCGCTAACCCCACAAGGACACAGCCCTCTACTCCTCAATCACAACCTTCGATTCACCCTACCTCTACCAGTTTAACGGCAGAGCAACGAGAGAGGCTCGAGAAAGCAAAGGCCTTTGCCCGTGAGGCCACACTAAAGGTATTTGACTGTTGAATAAAACGTCTGCTTTGATGGTAGGTCGTGCGCACGCTGACCAGTCCATGCTCAATCGTTGCTGGTCCAGATTTTACAGTCCAAACTGGCCCAAACCCCGCTGGTGATTCCCAACGCAGCCTCCCTAGCCGCCGGCGTAGAAGCCCGATCTATTGCGGTGATGAGCCGCATTTACGTAGGCTCGATCAACTTTGAGCTAACAGAGCAACACATCAAAGCGGTGTTCAATCAATTCGGCTACGTAAAATCCGTGAGCATGACCATTGATCCAGCTACTGGCAAGCACAAGGGATTCTGTTTTGTGGAATACGAGGTACCAGAAGCGGCAGAATTAGCTTTGGATCTTATGAACGGAGCCGAGCTCGGAGGACGGTAAGATTTCCAACAAGACGATCATGGTGGTTCGGGATCAAGGAACTGAATCGGTATCGATTGGTGTAGCCAACTAAAAGTGGGACGACCGAATAATTACAACCCAACTGTTGCCAAAACACTTCCCACACCAATCCCACAACGCCTCTACATCGCCAATGTCAACGAGTTCGTGTCCGAACAGAATATCGAAAGCATTTTCGAAGCATTCGGAAAAATCAAAGGATGTTCGCTGCTTGTACGTACTACAAACCAAACTCTACTTACTCTTTCTGGATCCCAAATCTCATCTTGTTCACTTGCAGCCAGATCTAGTACAACGCAAACACAAGGGCAATGGGTAAGTGAAAGGGTGATTGTGTTTGGGCAGAAGCGCGGGCTGTGCGGTATATGGGGTACCGTTGGGACGAGGCGTAGCGGGTTTTGCTATACTCGCGAGGCTCTTTATGTTGGGAGTTGCCGGTATTGACCTTCCCTGTCGTCCTACGCTTTATTTTTCTTTCTTTCTTTCTTCCTTCTCCTGAACATACCGCCCCTACTTGCATTATATCCGTATTGTCATCCACATATCGCCAGCCGATGGCCCAAGCTTTGTGTGTGACACACTCTGCCATGAAGTCAGCCGTAGGAGACGGGGTCCAACCACCCTTTCCGGCCTGATACATGCTGGACCTTCTATCACCGTGCGACGCCAGTGCAAGCAATGGCTGACCGCGATTGTGTGTTCTTGTAGGTATATTGAGTTTGAGGAGGAAACTGCAGCGATAGCGGCTCTCGCCAGCATGAACAACTTTGAACTCGGAGGGCAACCCTTGCGTATGATGAAGGCCATGATTGGCGGGCCACTTCCCCCTGGTATGAAAAGTTTGGAGACTATGCCACCGGTTCCTGTGGTCGCTACCGTTCCTGCCAGTGTCCTAAATGTGGCTCACAACATCAATAACACGATTGGTATGTGGTTTCCTTCTGCTACTGTGATCGCGAACGACAGGTTTAACGGTTTGTCGATGAATCAGCACAGAAAACCGGCGCTGCTGCAGCAGCTAGGCTCATAAATCCTGCGCTGCAAAGTGCTCTTGCCAAAGTTCAGGCAAGAGTAAACGAAGAGAACGCCGCTCTAGAGGAAAACATGTCCATTAGTGCAAGTCAGCGATATTCGATAATGCAGAAATTGATGAGGAGTGATGGAAGCCAAGAGGTGAGTGTTGTGTAAATAGAGTAGAGATTCGAGTATTATTTGATGCTCATTTCATATGCGTAGGCATCGTCACCTGTGATTGCGCTTCGTAATATGGTTGTGGTGAAGGATCTGGATGATTCGCTGAACGACGAGATATCAGAGGAATGTACAAAATATGGGCGGGTTCTAAAGGTCTTGATTTGGGTAGATCCTGTCAAACAGGCAAGCGATGCCTTGAAGCCAGACGATAATGTGGATATTTATGTTCAGTTTGAGGCGCCAGAAGGTATGTTACCTTTCCAAAATTCGTCGACCACAGGTTCGAGCTGATATGGTTGTTATCTCCAGCGGCGAGACAAGCAAGGGCAGCGTTAGATAAACGCTTTTTTGCTGGACGACGGGTAGCGGCATCCTTTTTCACGATGGAGGAATTTGCTAAATTGGATTCGCAGACAAATGCAACCATCTGAATTTCTATCCGTTTGTTCATTTCATCACCAACATGAAACTGATGCTATTTGCATGTTCGAAACAGTTGAGAAAGGATGCAACTAAATTTACATAACGAAAACTAAACATGTACAAATTGGGACTCAGCTATGCTGGTCTAAATCTAAATGAAACTAATCCAAAATTAAAAATATGTGGAGCGGCTGGCCACACCTGGCTCAGCCAAAAGTGAGTGCCTACCACCAGCGCTGCGAGGCTACCCTCCAGTTCCACCATTCGGCGCCTGCATAACCTAACCAGCCCAACACAAGGATCCACCCAGCGCTTGCAGCTGCCTTTACAGTGCCCAAATTCTTGGTCTCCTGTCCGACACCAGGGGTGAAGAATCCATACGAGAAGACAATCCCACATCCGGCATCTCCTTGAGCTTTTTCAAACTCTTGACAAGATTTCTTCAAACCAGCTGTGACGAGCGATGCTGCAACCAATGCGACAAGAGTGTACATTGATGCGACCACGGCGAATGCAAGAATCACCCGCTTTGCACGAGCCTGGTCTTTGGCCAAGAAGTAAAGCAAAGTACCACCGAGGATAATGGACAGGAGGATACCAAGAATGCCAACACTAATAACATAAAATGAGGACCCACGTTGAAAGCTCCACAAATGTTGGCTGGTCACTTACCCAACAGCAATTCCGCAAGCTGATGAGTCCGCATCGAACAGGCGCACTCCACCCTCCTCATGATAATTACCAACAAAGAGTAGACTACAGATGTGCAGAAAAAACAAACTGTTAGTACAGGGGCCCAAGGAAAGACAATAACCCTCTGAAATTACCAAACACGAGACGGCCCGAATTGGGCTTGGTCCGATATTCCGCCAGTAAAGATGGCTGCAACGACCAACAGCACCACGTAGAGTGCTCCCCACGCTAGGGTCTTTGCATTAATGTTCATCTCGTGCGTCCTTGTCTTTGTTCGGGGGATAATGACCCAACTTGAACCTTTAAAGGTGGAAAGGTGCGAAAGATGGCTTTTGAACCCGCGCAAGTTTTGCTTTAATTGCGGAAAAACGGAAGTGGTCACATGACTAGCTATTGGCATGGCAACAAGAATGCACGTGGATTCAACTTGATCAAAACAAAAAGAAATATACAATTGTGGTTGCAGCACTTGGAAGTTGACATCTGGAACAATGGTATTTGTAAAGGCAGGCATTTGGGGTAGGTACAAGGGAGATGAGGAGGGTCCATAGCATAATATGGATGACAGTTACATGACTCTTGAGGATGGCCATGTATGCGCGACAAACCTGCTGATCTAATCTTCCCACAGGCCTTACAGTTGAGGCTGGCAAAGAGTATTCGCAGATTGTCGATGATTCCTTCTGCATCACAATGGTATGGATCGCTGGCATAACTATAAAGAATGGGACTGCATACAATGAGCTGACGTCTCTTGTGTGGGTAGGCCGCGTTAGGCGCGCAACTTCCTAAAAACGGAGGTCGCACCTCAATCTCTATCAAAATTCATGACAAGGAATTTGCCGTGTGCTCATTGACTCCTGGAAAGATTGAGCAGCAGGTCCTTGACTTGACTCTCCTTGAGGGCGAGGAAGTGACCATCAAAGGCACTGGAAATTGCCCTGTCGATCTGACGGGTAACTACTTGGTTGACCCTTACGACGAATCGGATGACGAGGATGACCTTTCAATGGAAATCGATGGTGAGGGTGAGTACCTGTGCCTCCAGAGTCGAATATCTCTGATTGTTGCTAATGCGGCCCATTGTCGGTCTCCAATAGACATGGACTCTGAAGACGCTGAAGGCTGGGAAGACATGGACGACGACGAGGAGGATGATGATGAGGAAGACGATGATGAGGAGGATGAGATGGATATTGCTGCGCAGCTGGACGCCGCGTTGAAGAGCAAGCGGAAGCTCCCTGAGATCCCGTCGAGCAAAACCACCAAAAAGGCCAAAATTGTGGAGATTGAAGAGCCAGCAGAGGCACCGGTAGCAAAGACCAACGGGACCCCTGCAAAGAAAGATGCTAAAACGGACGCCAAAAAGGACACCCCCGCCAAGAAGGAGGCTCCTGCAAAGAACGCGTCTGCTAAAAAGGACGCCACCACCAAGAAGGAAACGCAGACCCCTAAACCTGAACCCACCAAAAAGGCCGAAACCCCCGTTTCTGCCAAAGCTGTCGCGAAGCAGCAGCAAAAGGAACAAACAGCTACGCCCAAGGAGCAAAAGGCTGAAAAGTCTGCTGAAAAGCCTGCAGAAACTCCCAAATCTACAAAAAAGACGCTTGGGAATGGACTGGTGGTGGAGGACGTTACTGTTGGGACTGGAACCAAGGCCAAGGCTGGAAAGAAGGTTGGCGTTCGTTACATTGGACGCCTTGCAAACGGCAAAGTATTTGATAGCAACACCAAGGGGAGCCCATTTATTTTCCGCCTCGGGGCTGGAGAAGTAATTCGTGGCTGGGATCTTGGCGTCAATGGGATGAACATTGGCGGAGTCCGCAAATTGACTATTCCTGCCAGTCTTGCCTACGGGTCTCGGGTAAGTTTTTTCAATTATTGATCAAAGGAAATTTCAAAATATTTAACAAATCTGAGTTTTTAGGGTGCTCCGCCTGACATTCCACCCAACGCAACGTTAGAGTTTGAAGTTAAACTGTTGGAAGTGCGCAATAAATAACGTGACCTATGCACGTGCATTAGGCAAATGTGATTGGAGGAAATTTGTGTTGTGGAGTAATAAACGGCCCTTGAAGCAAAATTTTAATTCTTGGCCGCTCGTTACCTGATCTGTGGATCTGAAACGCCCCGTGCCCCCCTTTTTGCTTCAGCGGCTTTTGGGAAATGGAAGGAATTTGCGGGGGGGCCATTGGGAGGTGTGCTGACCATCACCATTTTTATTATTGGCAAGAATTCTTGGCTTTAGGATATTTTGGGGGTTTTTTTTATAATGATGCTTTGAGCAGAACTTCCCTTGACCACTTGGACTTTGGGGGGGAGGAAGAAGGAATGGAACCCTAGAATACGCATTATTATTTACACTCCAACATCATCATCATCATGTCCGCTTCCATGCATGCTGTCCACGACGGGTTTGCGGAGCGCAGCAGCAACCGCACGTCGCGGGACATTGGCGGTTGGTTCCAAAAAAAGTGGGTGTCCGTCTTTCGCAAGGACAAGCCGACAACGAGGACGACGAGGACGAATATCACAAGAAAGAATGTGCGCTCGTCTTTCACCGACTCGACGACACACGCGTTCGACTTTGGCATTCCTCTGAACGAGGCTGGCCGCCAGGACCACGGCAGAGTCAATGACTGCCGAAGAATTTGCTCGAGCCGTGGGAATTCAGATTTTGGTCGCCAGCGACGCCGAGAGAGACTGAAACTTGCGATACGAAGCAGCAGCAGTGTCACGTTTGAGAACACGCGCGACATTTTCTCTCG